CGTTTGACCTCGGCAGGTCAAAATGTGCAAATAAACGACACTCAATACGTCGCAGCCCGGATTCAGCCCAGATTCGGGACACCTCCGATCAAGCTGAAACTCGCACACCGTGTAGGCCATGACATGCCCAATCTACAGTCCTAGTCATTCGGTGGCACTCCCAGGCGTTTGACCTACAGAGGTCAACAAAGGTCACATGGCCCAAATTTGCACAGCAGATTGTGGCCCACCAGTAGAGCTAGAGCGCTAAAAATGGCACCAATCGACTCGCCAGCATCTAATCTTACTTTTCCAACACTCATTTGACCTCTCAAGGTCATGGGATAACCTAAGGTCATTTGTGGGCTATGTCGAAAATACACTTGCACAGCAGTTTTCGAGTAGATGGATTGACCGAATTCCAAATCAAAGCACATGATCGGGTAGCCCATAGGCCGTAGTAACTATCCTTAAAAACCGCTTTTCGATATGTGACCCCGTTTGACCTCGGCAGGTCAAAATGTGCAAATAAACGACACTCAATACGACGCCGCCCGGATTCAGCCCAGATTCGGGACACCTCCCATCAATCTGAAACTCGCACACCGTGTAGGCCATGACATGCCCAATCCACAGTCCAAGTCATTCGGTGGCACTCCCAGCCGTTTGACCTACAGAGGTCAGCAAATGTCACGTGGCCCAAATTTGCACAGCAGATTGTGGCCCACCCAGTAGAGCTAGAGCGCTAAAAATGGCACCAATCGACTCGCCAGCATCTAATCTTACTTTCTCAACACTCATTTGACCTCTCAAGGTCATGCGATGACCTAAGGTCATTTGTGGGCTATGTCGCAAATACACTTGCACAGCAGTTTTCGAGTAAATGGATTGACCGAATTCCAAATCAAAGCACATCATCGGGTAGCCCATAGGTCGTAGTAACTTTCCTTAAAAACCGCTTTTTGATATGTGACCCCGTTTGACCTCGGCAGGTCAAAATGTGCAAATAAACGACACTCAATACGTCGCAGCACGGATTCAGCCCAGATTCCGGACACCTCCGATCAAGCTGAAACTCGCACACCGTGTAGGCCATGACATGCCCAATCCACAGTCCCAGTCATTCGGTGGCACTCCCAGGCGTTTGACCTACAGAGGTCAACAAAGGTCACATGGCCCAAATTTGCACAGCAGATTGTGGCCCACCCAGTAGAGCTAGAGCGCTAAAAATGGCACCAATCGACTCGCCAGCATCTAATCTTACTTTCCCAACACTCATTTGACCTCTCAAGGTCATGCGATGACCTAAGGTCATTTGTGGGCTATATCGAAAATACAGTTGCACAGCAGTTTTCGAGTAGATAGATTGACCGAATTCCAAATCAAAGCACATCATCGGGTAGCCCATAGGCCGTAGTAACTTCTTTAAAAACGGCTTCTCGATATGTGACCCCGTTTGACCTCGGCAGGTCAAAATGTGCAAATAAACGATACTCAATAATTCGGTCAAGCCCGGATTCAGCCCAGATTCGGGACACCTCCGATCAAGCTGAAAATCGCACACAATGTAGGCCATGACATGCCCAATCCACAGTCCAAGTCATTCGGTGGTAATCCCAGCCGTTTGACCTACAGAGGTCAGCGAAGGTCACGTGGCCCAAATTTGCACAGCAGATTGCGGCCCACCCAGTAGAGCTAGAGCGCTAAAAATGGCACCAATCGACTCGCCAGCATCTAATCTTACTTTCCCAACACTCATTTGACCTCTCAAGGTCATGCAATGACCTAAGGTCATTTGTGGGCCACAATCTGCTGTGCAAATTTGGGCAACGTGACCTTTGCTGACCTCTGTAAGTCAAACGGCTGGGAGTGCCACCGAATGACTTGGGCTGTGGATTGGGCATGTCATGGCCTACATTGTGTGCGATTTTCATTTTGATCGGAGGTGTCCCGAATCTGGGCTGAATCCGGGCTGCGACGTATTGAGTGTCGTTTATTTGCACATTTTGACCTGCCGAGGTCAAACGGGGTCACATATCAAAAAGCGGTTTTTAAGGAAAGTTACTACGGCCTATGAGCTACCCGATGATGTGCTTTGATTTGGAATTCGGTCAATCCATCTACTCGAAAACTGCTGTGCAACTGTATTTTCGATATAGCCCACAAATGACCTTAGGTCATCGCATGACCTTGAGAGGTCAAATGAGTGTTGGGAAAGTAAGATTAGATGCTGGCGAGTCGATTGGTGCCATTTTTAGCGCTCTAGCTCTACTGGGTGGGCCACAATATGCTGTGCAAATTTGGGCCATTTGACCTTTGTTGACCTCTGTAGGTCAAACGGCTGGGGGTGCCACCAAATGACTTGGACTGTGGATTGGGCATGTCATGGCCTACATTGTGTGCGATTTTCAGCTTTATCGGAGGTGTCCCGAATCTGGGCTGAATCCGTGCTGCGACGTATTGAGTGTCGTTTATTTGCACATTTTGACCTGCCGAGGTCAAACGGGGTCACATATCGAAAAGCGGTTTTTAAGGAAAGTTACTACGGCCTATGGGCTACCCGATCATGTGCTTTGATTTGGAATTCGGTCAATCCATCTACTCGAAAACTGCTGTGCAAGTGTATTTTCGACATAGCCCACAAATGACCTTAGGTCATCGCATGACCTTGAGAGGTCAAATGAGTGTTGGGAAAGTAAGATTAGATGCTGGCGAGTCGATTGGTGCCATTTTTAGCGCTCTAGTTCTACTGGGTGGGCCACAATCTGCTGTGCAAATTTGGGCCATGTGACCTTTGTTGACCTCTGTAGGTCAAACGCCTGGGAGTGCCACCGAATGACTGGGACTGTGGATTGGGCATGTCATGGCCTACACGGTGTGCGAGTTTCAGCTTGATCGGAGGTGTCCCGAATCTGGGCTGAATCCGGGCTGCGACGTATTGATTGTCGTTTATTTGCACATTTTGACCTGCCGAGGTCAAACGGGGTCACATATCGAAAAGCGGTTTTTAAGGAAAGTTACTACGGCCTATGGGCTACCCGATGATGTGCTTTGATTTGGAATTCGGTCAATCCATCTACTCGAAAACTGCTGTGCAAGTGTATTTGCGACATAGCCCACAATGACCTTAGGTCATCGCATGACCTTGAGAGGTCAAATGAGTGTTGGGAAAGTAAGATTAGATGCTGGCGAGTCGATTGGTGCCATTTTTAGCGCTCTAGCTCTACTGGGTGGGCCACAATCTGCTGTGCAAATTTGGGCCACGTGACCTTTGTTGACCTCTGTAGGTCAAACGGCTGGGAGTGCCACCGAATGACTTGGACTGTGGATTGGGCATGTCATGGCCTACATTGTGTGCGAGTTTCAGCTTGATCGGAGGTGTCCCGAATCTGGGCTGAATCCGGGCTGCGACGTATTGATTGTCGTTTATTTGCAGATTTTGACCTGCCGAGGTCAAACGGGGTCACATATCGAAAAGCGGTTTTTAAGGAAAGTTACTACGGCCTATGGGCTACCCGATCATGTGCTTTGATTTGGAATTCGGTCAATCCATCTACTCGAAAACTGCTGTGCAAGTGTATTTGCGACATAGCCCACAAATGACCTTAGGTCATCGCATGACCTTGAGAGGTCAAATGAGTGTTGGGAAAGTAAGATTAGATGCTGGCGAGTCGATTGGTGCCATTTTAGCGCTCTAGCTCTACTGGGTGGGCCACAATCTGCTGTGCAAATTTGGGCTACGTGACCTTTGTTGACCTCTGTAGGTCAAACGGCTGGGAGTGCCACCGAATGACTTAGACTGTGGATTGGGCTTGTCATGGCCTACATTGTGTGCGAGTTTCAGCTTGATCGGAGGTGTCCCGAATCTGGGCTGAATCCGGGCTGAATCTGGGCTGAATATGGGCTGTCTTGACGGACATCTAGCACTAGGGGTGTAACCGCCCATACGGACAGTGCAATTTTACAGGCCCCAATCTCGGACCTCCCTCAACATTCATATGTTGTAAACGGCAAACCGCCCCCGATAAATGTTACACAAACTAATTTCCTCTCGCATATCGGCCATCAGGCGCCCCTTTTTGTCGCATGGAGCCTGCAACGCTATAAGCCCTCATGTGTTCGCGTTGGCGTTCGGAGGCTATCGCCTTCAAAGATGTCTCCATAAATGTTTCTTTTTCGTCCCACACACAGGCGCCCCTCTTTCGCATGCAGGCGCCCCTCTTCCGCATGGCGCGCTTCTCGAGTGGCTGCGCCCTCCTAGCCTTTATCGCCTGGCAAGATTATATTCGACAGGGTCGGCAGCATCTGCCTTTGTTTCAGATAAGGATGCCCTCCACTCTTCAGCATATCAAAAGATACTTTTCCCACGTCATTACCACCCTCTTCGTGTCACAAGTGCCTTTGTCAGTTGCGGTGTCGCACTGCTCAGCTTTATGATGGCTGCCGCACCTCTTAACTTCCTGCCTCCTCTACAGATTTTCGAGGCGCCCCTTTCCATAGCTTTAGGGTGCAGCTGCCCCCCTTGCCCCCCTGCTTCCGCCGCCACTGGGAAAAAGTGTTAAACACACCTCGAAGTGGACAATGTAGAAATAATTAGCAAGACCGGGTTCAAAAGTCGTGTCGATATACTCATAGGAAACCAAACCGATGAAATGCATAACACAGCGAAATGCAAGCGTTTTATTTATAAGAGTTTGGACGGACTGAGAGTGAACTCAAGCGAGACATGTGCCGCCCCTAATTCCCCCCCCCTCCCCCCACCCGGCAGGCCGCAAACTATAGAAAATAGACATTGAATTAATCATAATGCGCTGTAATTAATCATATTGTTGCGTAGAAAACAAACAGTTTGAAACAAAACATTCGATATGTTCTTTCGGCGCCCGCAGTGGCGGCACGAGTAGTTATTTCGTGAGGGCATTTCTTACCTTGTTTGGCTTTGAACTCTGCGCTCTTGTCACAGTCACGGCGCAACTAAAAATCGCGGCTTTCAAAATTGAATTTGTTGGCTGCTACTAGCTGTGTAATTTTGATTTTGTTTTGTGGGAAAAGGATTTACAAAACAATAAAATAGATTTGTTGGTTGTTTTATACCTGAGCTGCAGATTAAGCCTAAGAAGTGTTCAACAAGCTATCTTTCTCATAAAAAATGGGCTCGCTGTGGGCGCGTCCCCCATGCCAGCGTGAAATTAGTTCTGGCAAATATACTAAAATTTTACCGCAAGCCTGTGAATTTATTCAATCTATATGTTTTGTGCCACCTACACAGTGGAAGTTTTTGTTTATCAGGTGTCAAATGGGTTTCTTATTTGTACGATTCTTATGCCAGTAATTGGTCACGGGTCAGTATAGAATCAAAATGGTATTTTGAGGCTGCACGTCAAGGCGGCAATATTGGAAATAGCCCGTTTTCTGGTCCTAGTGACAGTCTGGTCCAGATGAATTTGTTCTTTACAAATTTATGCTTTGGCACCTAGAATCTTCTGAATTTCCTAACCTCTATGATGAAAAACTGCTGCCTATGATAAACCTAAACATGCAGTAATAGCATTGAGAGTCACACATTTAATCAGTTATTTCATCTAATAGGCCAAACTCCTGTTTGTTCTAAAAGCCGGAGGGTTCTCAAGAAGCATCGAGTCCCGAGACCAAGACCGAAAGCAGTCCAAACAATGGCATGTGGCAGCTGTGGTTTGCAAACAACTCGAACCAGTAGACATGTTGCTAATATTATGTTGTTTTCCTACAGATTCATTCTGAGATAGATGAGTAACTGGAGGAACAACACTGGGGGTCGAAAGCCGCTGTCATTTGTGGCAGCCGCTCCTCCGCCCCCACCACCTCCTCCACCAATCCCAGATGATGATGATGTCTGGGGTGAGGAACTGCCGGAAGATGCTCTTGAGGAGGCGATGCTGCTGGAGTCGCAACATCTTGCCAGGCCACTGACTGAGGACCATGTCCCAGCCCCATCAACACACAGCAAGGTATGCTAAGACCTCTGAAGGCATGGTCTGGTGAAGGTTGAGCTGAGGTCAAAGTGATGATTTAGCAAGGACGCCTGTTCTCAAAACATGCCATTGGTCTGGTTTTTAATGATATGCTTGAAGTTAATGTCCTTAGCAGCCAGCATTCTAAATAATAATTTCAAATGAATGGATTTGTTATGCTAAGCACCAAACTAAACGACCTATTCACGTTGAGCAGAGTTTGTTGTGGAGGTCCTGATGGTCACTAACTGAACCAGAAGCTCCGAGAATGCTACAATTTAGAGTCGAATGTTTTGTTGGAAACAGCGCACCTGGCTCACAGACTTCATGTGACCTATAATGGGCCACTGTCACTGACAGCAGGATAGATAGTCAGAAGACAGTTGCAATGAACCGAGCTCTCAACTGACCGATCCCCCAGACAGTCTGTCCCCTAAGCCGTTACTTTGGCTCGTTATGCGCGTGCCCACTGGTCTGACATTGCCGTTTGCGCTCGGGGACAGCGGCAGCCGCCGGTGGCGGCGCCCAGCACCGTCCGCGTGCCGCCGCCGGAGCCCGCGGCGCCGCTGTCTGAACTGCAGCAGCTGCGGCGCGACCACCAGGCACTCAGCGATCAGCTGCGCGCTGCAAAGGCCGACAAGTACACCCAGCAGGGGCAGGTGAGCCGCAGTTTGTTATAACCAGGCCTGTGGAGTCGATGGATCCGACTCTGAATCTGGATCTGACTCTGGCTTCCAAATATTGACTCCCAACTCCAAATTGGACGGAACTGTCGACTCTGACGGACTCCAACTCTGCCTTCGTAACCCTAACAGCCAGGTCTGCGGGTCGATGGATTTTCGGCAACTCCAACCCCGACTCTGGCTTCCCAGATTGACTCCGATTCCGAATCCAGTCAGAACTGTCGACCCCGATCGACTATTATCATGAAACTGATAGTATGGCCCTCAGTCAACTAATAAAGATTTGCCTGTTAGGCTCACCCTACCGTCATGCCTGTTGCACGTTGTCTTTGTGTCTATTTACGGGATGTGTTCTGTGCCGTTGGCCAGGTGTCTGTTCTGCGGGAGGAGCTGACACGGCGCTGTCGGGAGCTGGAGAACTGTCGCCTGGAGAGCTCGCGCCAGCTGCAGGAGCAGCACTCCTGTCTGGAGCAGAGCACGGCGGCGCTCAACAAGGAACTGGAGACGCTCCGCACAGAGCTCCAGTTCAAGGTCGGCACAGTGCAGCGATGAAGGACAATCTAGTCGTAGATGTAGCTGTATTTAGGGTCTTGGATGTAGCGATGAGCGTCGGTTAGAAATTGACAACTGATTCTGGCTTCCCAGTTCCCAGAGTCCGTGTTTGTGTTTGTTTAGTTTTCCTTCATACTCACCAACTGCATCATTGCCCTGCAATGCAGATTTGTTTGTAGCGTGTGCCCGGACGTCACGATCCTACCTTCTCGATGCCGTTGTCGCGACTACTGACGGGCCGGTGTTGTCCACAGAGCCACGAGCTTGCCGAGGTCACCCGCCAGTATCGGGCTCTGCGCGACTCGCCCGGACGCGCTGCCAGTCCGCCGCGGAAGGCGCCGCGACTCGACTCCGCCGACCAGTCGTTCGCCGCCGCTCGCCGCTTCGTCACCAGGTCAGACTACTCGTCTGGGTCATCCCCCTACTGGGGTGGCTCTGTTTTAGATTACTCATTCGACTATGAAGCGCTGCCGTTCGTATGTCTTAGCATATGCTTAACATTTCTGGAACATTTTTTTCGCTGCGGGACATTTTAATGTATTCTCGAAAATGGTTGTGTACTTTTTCTTTTCAGCTCGGAGTTTCGCCGACCGGAGAAGTTTGCAGCGCGGACCGAGACGTCTGGCACTCAGACGGATCCGGACCCTGAGGAGTCGCAGCCAGGTACGAACACAGCTAAGGACGCAATACCTATCGCTATCAGCGTATGGGAGTAACTGCTTTCCTTTGGAAACAGCTGTCGAAGTGTGGGCTCTGCTGGCGGCGGATGGGTGTTACTGTCGATATGCAGTTGAAATTACCGAGAAGACGCGGGCTGAAGAGCGTTGTGCTCAGTGTTTAGGTACCTAGCTAGCGATCACCGGTCGATGATGCGTCATTTGGCGTCGATGCAGTGAAGAGAGACTAGGTGCGTAGGCTGGTTTGGCGACTGGTTTGCCGTGTCTCCGTGTGTGTGTATAGATGATGACGGTCTGTGTCCCCGTACAGACGGTGACGAGGTGGCCGTGTCTCCGTGTATGTGTATAGATGGTGACTGTATCTCCATCTCCGTACAGACGATGACGATGTGGCCGTCTCTCTCTGTGTGTATAGATGGTGACTGTATCTCCTTCTCTCTCCACACAGACGGTGACGAGGTGGCCGCCCACCAGCTGGTGCTGTCCGTGCTGCGGGCCTGCGCCGACTGCCGCTGGCTCGACGGCGCCGCTCTCTCTGAGCTGGCCGACCCGGACCCGCAGCGGGCCAGTGGCGCGGCCCACCGGCTGGCCGCCGCCGCCACCGGCCGGCTCGCCGCGTTCTCAGACAGCGTGGAGCGGCTGCGGGCGACCCGGGCTGACGACAGGTGTGATGGAGAGCCGGGGGCTGTTGGTCCTAACTCCTAACGGTCATATTGGTCAAACGGATATTGCGGATAACGGTCAAGTTGGTGTGAATTAGAAAAGCGGGGTTGAAATACGACATGAAATGATGACCTTAGAACTCGGAATATATTGGAATCCGGGTGGTAATTAGGACTGGGAGTTGGCCATAATTCAGACCTTTTCTAGTAGTCCACTGAAGTGTCTCAGCTGCAGATCACGGAGCTTCCCTTTTGGACGATCTAAAAGCTGCTGTGTTGGGCTCGGCTGACTCGATTAGCATAATGCTGATGGGAGCCGTGAGTGAGCCTTCCATGACATTATGACACCTCTCACTGTCCTGACATATTTGCTGTCTGTTTGTGCTTTGCCAGGCAGGTGTGCACGCTGGGCTCTGGCCGGCGTCGGACGGCGGCCCGCCAGGCTCTCCAGCAGGAGGAGACGGCCGCCGTGGCTGCGCTGACCGCCCTCAGACGGCTGGCCGAGTGGTCGGCGCCGCTGGCAGCGCGGCTGGCCGCTGACCGGCCGCTGACCGAGCTGCTGCCGCGACTGCTGCGGCCCGCCATCGCCCAGGTGAGTTCCCTCAGTCTGCTGCGTCCCGCCATCGCCCAGGTCAGTACCCACCATTCCTTGGTTCAGTACCCGTCATCGCCCAGGTCAGTACCCGTCAGGCGTCATATTCGCCCAACTTAGTACCAGTCATTGCCTAGATCAGTAGTACTCGGCTTCGTAATCGCCTAGTTCAGTTATCTTATCAAGCATATGCGAATGGTTTCACGGATGGTTTCTGTTAGTTTTTATGATTAAACAATGCATTGTAAGCCATTCATCTTTGGTATCGTGAAAGAACCACTAAAAACTAGTTTTTTATGTGTATTGTGCATTCTGGTTAAAGTAGCTGTTTTCGTTGCATTGTCGACTGATAAATGTCGCGATGTTTTCCAGGGTGAAGTGACGAATGCCCACATTATGGAGCACACCGCCGTCCTGCTGGCGACGATGGCCGGCGACACCCTCCCGGACGAACTGTACGTATTCCAATGGAAGGACTGACGCTGTGAACCAAGTCTCGCCATTCACTGATTTCAAACGCCGCATAACTAGGTATGGCATCTATTTGAATGGTTTCCGTCTTCATAACTTTTTTTTCGAACGGTCTAGTGTGCATTCCGGCGTAGGCGTTTATTGCTTGTTTCCGTATTTCATTTTATTGCTGGTACCTACTTTTACTTGCGTTGTTGTTTGCAGCCGTATACGTTGAATTTTTCATATGCACTATCTTATTCCAATGACCAGGCTCTGACCTCATGCACTGAATAATCGCCCTCTCTGTCCCCGCAGATTCCAGGCTCTCTGTCCCGTCGTGCACGAGGTGTTTAACACCAAGCCGCCGTCCCGGCTGTTATTGGCTCTGCTGGAGCTGCTGATCAGTGCGGCCGGCACAGGGCAGATAGCGGGCCTCTGGTGCCGCGCCGCCCCGCCCCCGGCCGAGCCCCCCGCCCGGAAACACACAGGTAACAACGGCGTGGGAACGCGCGGTGACGTAGGAGCGTAAACGGTGGCGTAGGTGTTAACATTTTTTGGAACCACTTCGAAACATTTCTAGTGTGATAATTTAAAATCTCAGCAGCTGCGCAGTACCAGTTTCACGGTGAACTTTATTTTTGCGTCGACAAGCTCGGCACTGAGCACACCACCATGTGGGCAAGTCAGCAGACCGGTGGGTAATGCGTGGCATCGCAGCGAAATGTATTGCGATTTGCGATGTCCCGGCGCGGCCCTCCCTGTAACCTACCTAACCTCTGCGCGCAGGCACGTGTCTGATGAAGAAGCTGAACATCCTCTGCTGCGAGCGGGGCGCGCCGTCCGATCCTCCGTCCCCGTCCAGCTACCGACTGCCTGCGAGTCACAGTCGCCACGGGCCGCAGAGGCAGCCGCTGACCACCGGACGGGCTGACCTGAGCTCGCAGCAGGGTAAACGGTGGAAGGTCAGTCGTGGGACCCGGACGGGAAAGTGGGTACGGTACCAGTAGCGGCGGAACACCTTCAATTAAGGGGGCACCACCGACTTTTGGTCCCATTCTTTCCATGCAACGCCCATAGGGTTAATGTTAAAATGCCAAAATCAAAGGGGGCACAGTGCCCCGGACGGTGCCCTCCCCGTTCCGCCGCCTATGTACGGTACGGTCACGCGCGGTCACATTGTAATGGTTTGAGGATAGAATGTTTTGTGGAAAATATACAGGAAGTTAGGTGGTAATCGCTGAATCACAAGCATTACCTATTGGCACTGAATACCTGACAAGCGTCGGGTATAACTAATTAGTCCAATGACAGATATTACCTAGCTACAGTCGACGCGTTTAATTAGGGACGTGCATTTTTACCATGCTTCTGTGTAATGCCTGATCGCACGGTGTAACAGTAAACTAGCCAGCGGGGGTCACCTCACCGTTCCTCTCCAGCCCTCGCTGCCCATGACGCTATCGACAGTAGCTAACACAGCCGTGTGTTTATGTCTGTGTCCGCAGCTGTCGGCGGCCGGCGGCGCCTGCGACGCCCGCTGGCTGCGGCTGGTCGGCCTGCTGGTGTGGCGGCCGGCCGCACTGCCCCCGCAGGCGTGCTGCCGCGCCCACCTCACCCTATTAGTGGTGCAGCTGCTGCACGCAGCCGTACGGCACTGGCAGCACGGTTAGTGACAGAGGAGGGGCACGGTCGGTGACGGGGGGGAACACGGTCAGTAGCAGGGGGAGTGTCTCTTCGGTAACATTCGATAACACGTTCACTTCGCGGTGGCCGCATTGCACCGTTTGAAGTCATTTTCTCGATATTTCCTCAAGTCATAATGATAAAAAGAAAGCGACGAGATCCGTCCCAGTTATGGTAGATCCCAATGTCCATTCCTGTGTGGAGTGAGCAGTATCATTTCTGAGCCGAATCCCAAACTAGATCCCAATGTCCATTCCTGTGTGGAGTGAGCAGTATCATTTCTGAGCCGAATCCCAAACTGTCTGTGTTGTGGTGATCAGTGACCTGACCCACGCCGTCACCCGCGCCCAGGCGGCGCAGGTGTGCCGTATGGTAGCATGTGACCAATGATCTTATCCGTGTTACGGTACTCGCCCAGGCGGCGCCGATGAGCCGTCAGCCGTGTTGCTCCTGCTCTCCGCCCTCCACCGGCTGGCCGACCTGGACGCCGAGTTCTCCGTGTCCGTCTCCCGCGAGCGGCTCCGCTACCTGGTTACCATGGAAACGCTGGGCCGCTGCTGGAGGGAGATGCGACTCACCGCCCAGCACGGTAAGAAAGCTGGGAGGGTGGGTGTAACGGGAATTAAGGTGGTGGGTCTGAGAAAGGGGAGATGGATGTTGAACTGAAGGACATAGAGGGTCTTAGGATGGGGCGGCAGGCGAGTACGGCAAAACTAACCCTGTCACGCCGTGGCGCTTCGATAGAATCAGGGATTTTATTACAGGGTTAATATACCGCCAGTGTTTGTTTCGTTTTGTTATTCATACGCATTTGTTTATTTGGCTGTTGTGTTCGGGTTTTCCTGTCAATGCAGTGGACTGGGTACCTATATTTGGCTTGTCGGGACTCGGTATGCACTGTAGTCATGTATTTTGTCTCGTCGTTGTTATGTTTCACCGGTTCTCCTGACACCGTTACGTTATTGTGTCGCCAGTGGGGGTGCTCCAGGAGCTGTACAAGTTCCAGCCGGGCACGTTCGAGGGAGCGGGCCTCCTGGAGCTATCACGGTCCGACTAGTCAGCCGACATCCGGCCCTCGTCTCCACTGGCGGCGGTGAGGTGCGACATTATGGTGTCGCCAGTGTTCGTTGTTGTAAGTCGGTCATCATCATCATCCAATGGACGATGTAATTCATCTCATTTTGTTATAATATCGCACAGGGTATTGTGCGCAAATAAATATCATGGATACGTGAGCATGCGACTTAGTGTTGATCAATGCGACGTCGTACACAACTATTTCCATCCGTGATTTAAAAACGTTTGAAGTTAGTTCAACTGAGGCCTTCACTCGCTCGAGAGTCGAGAGCATTCGTTCAACACTTGCGAGGACCCGGATTATAGCTTCAGTAGCCCACCGCTATTTGTATCAAACGATCTGCATGATAATTGCGTGACCCTGCCAATCTGCTACCGGGTTCGTTGCACTCGTCCAGGCCTTTCATATTCCGTCGATATGTAACATGTTGACACGGTTAACCTGACCCGACATTCAACTGTTAAATCAGTCCCCAAATTTACGCGATAAGGAGCTTTCGTCATTCCAACTCTTAAATTTGCTTGAGAATCTGAGGAACAGCAGAGAATCTCCTTTCATCCGTCGCTCATTTCAGTGCACGGCATTCAACTGACTGGCCCTTTCCAGGAGAATGCACGCGTGATCTAACAGTTTCGGTGCTTATTCTCATTCACTACAGCCTACCCCGCCGTCCGTCCCGTCGCATAGTTACATTCCATCACGTCCACTTTCTTATCTCGTCCGTTTTCCTCTCAGACGCGTTCGTTGTGCACATTCTCATGTATTGGTCAGCCCGGACTCGCCCCAGGGCCCGAACATTTACAGCCAAAACCGACAGTCAGGTCACTTCACAAGGAACGCTGTCGTAAATATGTACGGCAGGGAATATTTCCTTTACACCCAGCTCGGTTATAATATTTTCAAAGTAACGTCGCATCATATGAACAAGGATAAATAAATCAATTCTATATCTACAACACCAACTGGGGGAACAGCAGAAGCTGGTCGTCCAGCTGAGCGTCGAGGGGCTCGTCGTCGAAGATGGACCAGGGTGTCGGGGAGTGTTGGTCCTCCATCTTGCAGAGGTCGTCCATGTGGGGTTTCACGTCCAGTTCGAGCGACTCGGTGGGCGAGGGGACGCGCGGCGAGCCGGGCACGGCGCCGTCCGAGCTGCTCGCCGGAGAGTCGGGCGAGTCGGGCGAGTCGGACTCCTCGAGCAGTGCGAGCAGCGCCTGCGCCGGGTCCTCGGTCACCGTATCATGGCTGGGCTCCAGCTCTTCTGCTGCGGTCCCCACCAGAGCAGCGCCGGCGGCGGACGCGTCCCCTCGCGCCGGCTCTTCGCCGCCGAATATCGAGCGACTGATGAGCTCGAGCAGATCAGCGTGTTGGTCACTGTCGCTGCCAGTGCCACCTGGAAGCCTGCCCAGCTGAGCAGGCTGAGAGCCAGCAGCGCCGCCACCGCCCTCCCCGACTCCTGTCCCTTCTGCTGAGGGCCACTAATGAGTGCTGCAGACTCAACGGAGGCGGGGGTGGGGGCGGCCGCGCCGGCCGGTTCCAGCCGCTGCAGTAGCAGCGCGTTCTGCTGGCTCAGCAGCTCGTTCTGCTTCTGCAGGAAGGCGTTTTGTTGGAGTAGCTTGTCGTTCTGCCGGGAGGAGAGCGGGCGAGTTAGAACGGGAATCGGCAGAGGGGACGGCAAACAGCCACTGCGTCCCGGCCCGCATGTAAAGCGATAGCCCTTACAATCAGGCACCAGTATGTAAATCACGTAGCAAGTCCGCAATTCCTGCTGACGAGCGACTTGTCAGTGCTGACCTAAGCAATGATTAGGTCGTGCGGATCGATACAACACGACACGAGATAACGAGATAAAGAGTTCGCGACTTTCTGCACGACGGACACTGAAACGCGCTCCCCAAACAATCACGTTAAAAATTGCCGTCGAGCAAAGCAACGGGAATGGGTGAAAAACTCTCCCTTACCAATGCCAGTTAATCCCCGCGGCATGGTGTACTGGATTTACCTACCGCGCCAGCCGACCCTCCCCTCCCCTCCCCCCCCCGCGTGCGGTACCGGAGAGGGCGCCCGGTGCTCACCTGACGCTCCAGACTGGTGACTCTGCTCTCCAGCAGGTCCATCTGCAGCTTCTTACGGTCCCGGGCCGTCTGAGCTGCTACTCGGTTCTTCAGTTTTCTGTAGAGAGAAACCGTAGTCATTAATATTGCACACCATATGGTCCACCAACGACCATATGGTGTGCAAGGGTGGTTACATAACGCAGGCGACACGCTATCGGTGGATTAAAGCTCCTGCATAATCTTTGTGACGTCACTGTTCGGTGTTTGCAGAATCTGCAGCTGACTGCAACAGGCATAAGGTTCAAATCCAGGGAAAACATGCAGCTATATGGTTGCCGGAAATTACTGATAATTTGAATTGACGTTACTGCAGCGCTGGGCGTTAACCCGCCCGCGTACTCACCTCCTCTGGTTTTTCTGGTCGGCGGTGAGGTGGTCGAGCCTCTGCCGTTTCTTCGGCGGGCTCGGCATGATCCCCGACAGCGCCGGGGTGGTGGTGGTGGTGGTGACGGCATTCTCCGCCGGTCTGCTGGTGTACACCCGCTTCAGCACGGTCCGCACAACGGCCGGCGACACGGTGGTGGTCGGCGTGGCCTGCAGCACCCGGGTCTGCGGGCCGCGGCCGGCCGACGACGGCGGCGAGCCCACCGTCACCACCCGGACCGTGCGCGGCGCGCCGGCCAGCGCCGACGCCTTCGAGACACCGTGGTTGGCCGGCGTGATGATGATCTTTGTTGTCATGACGCTAGCTGCCCGCGCTGCGCAGGCTCACAGTGGACTGACCCCTCTGCTCCGCCTCTCGACTGTCCGCTCTCTACTCCTCTGCACCATGCCGCGGCGGCCGACCTGCGCTCCCGGAGCCTGCGGTCACACTGCGGCCGAGCGGCGGCTGGCGCAACACCGGCGTGTCGCTCTCCGATTGGTCGGCCGGCCGCTGACGTCAACGCCGCCAGCGCCGGCCGCCGTGGAGCCCGCCGATTGGTCGCCGCCGGCGTCGTCAGCAAAGTCCCGGATGTATGGTGCGTCATCGAGCGTCAGCCGTCATCGTCGGAGCGCCGCAGGTCTCCAAAACAAAACATCACCACTGCTACTGGGCGGGGCCCAAACATTGGCAAATGGCACGGGTCCGTGCGAAAATTGTTCCACTTCCAGTATGTCCTCAAACCAGCGTTCCCGACAAAGCACAATCGCCTGTTTCCCGCATATACTGCGACCAATGACCTGCTGTTTGTTTACATTTGATGACCCCGTCTCCCTTCCCACGTGTTCGGCTCTCAGGCTTCCGACGGGGATACCCCGCGACCTTTTATCAGTGCGCGCGTTCAGGCTAGGCCACATTCGAATCGTTCGGAACGGCAGAAGGTTTCTGGGATAGATATGTCGAACGCTCGCTCCAATGAGCCTGTTCTCGAAATTTCCCGAGCCGGGTTTACCGGGCCGAGCGCCCGGTGTACATACCAGCGATTGATAAACGTCCGGCGCGGGGCTGTCCGACCTAAACACTCAACTGTGACCACATTTACATTAATGTTATCAAAACATAGGACATCAGCTGCTCGTGCTGGCACTGATGAGTGATGACTACATCCAACTAAATCAATACCCTGGCCATTTGGCCTTGGCATGATCGATTAACTCCCAGCGTAGCTAACACATTTGCCGTACCAGCAAAGTTTTGACAGGCCGGCCCAACACCGCATATCTTCAGGAATCCCCTCCCACTGCGTATGCTCCCTGTTTTCCGGGCCGGTTGGCCGCCGACCACAATACAAACATATGGGGCACTGGCCAGGGTTTCTCCCAAGAGATAACAGTTCAGTGTGACAATAAGGATGACCAGAGGGTGGCCTTAATGCCGCGTTAACGCCATGCCACAGTCCCCTAGCCAGTGCTCTCTCAGTTCACTTCGCAGTCGTATGCTGTGGTCCAGTCTAATTCATACATGTTATATGTATGTAAAAGATGACATAGCTATGTCAGCGCGCCTTGAAACAAAATTAAATTTTCGATGGGTAAATCTTTATGGCTCACCCTGCATACCAACAGAGCTCATACACAGAATTTATACCTGCCGCGGCGTTTTAACATAACCTGTCGCGTAAACAGTCCTATTCGGACAAATCCACATGACGCCGTCGTAGTCTTACTTCAGTAACTCTCCAAGAGTTAGATATTTGTGCGATGATTCAGCAAATAATCCAATCAATAGCAAATGAAAACTAAAGAAAAACAATGAAGCATAAGGTGGACATTCTATTCAATTCACGTTCACAACAGAGCGGTAGCGGCGACGGTAACTAGCACAGCCTATGGACTCGGGCGGGCGCGCGGTGTGTGTTAGGTATACTCTCTCTCTCTCTCTCAGCGCGGATCGTGCGGCAGTTTGAAGCCGACCATGGCGGCCGTGTCTGCCGTGGTGCGCTCGCCGCCGCCCTTGTAGGTCTGCAGCAGCAGCTGGTGCCGCCGCCGGCTCGACAGATAGCTGTGGTAGAGGGCGCCCAGGTGGGCCAGCTCGTCCCGCGCGCGGCAGTGCTCCTCGCCAGTCACCTGAAAACGGCGCCAAACTCGGTCAGTGACTCAGCTTTCAACGTTACTGATCACGGCGAACTTTTGCCCACGCTTTTTTAAACTTAACAATTGCAACACCGATATCCAATACTGGACAAATCAATGCAAGTAGCACCGAGAAACCTTCCATCGTCACATCTCGGCCCACAGCTATTGATATGAACGCAGGGCGTGACGTTTTGACGTACCTACGTTATGTGAAGTGAAATATCCCTCAACGCGCTTCGACAGGTCGAGAAAGAAAACAGCCAGACTGCTTCAGATGGCGCTCACAGGCCACGGCTCAGCTATGCTCCAGTGTCACCATTAATTACTTGACGCTGGTGCTGTTTTGGTCGCCGTTTTTTATCAGCTGGCTGCCAGCTTCTTGGCATTTATCGGCTTCTCACTGGTCGATTTCACGTGGTCTGTGCGGTTCACTAATGAAAGGCTAATAAACGCCAGCGCGGAACTTCCATACATGGCAAAACCGGCAGCATACTGATGAAAAACGGCACCGAATAGCGCTCCTATTGTAATGTTCCAGTATGACCAATGGTAAGCCATGTGCTCCGGAATGACCACCGGTAACCCATGTGCTCCGGAATGACCACCGGTAAACCGTGTGCTCCGGAATGACCACCGGTAACCCATGTGCTCCGGAATGACCACCGGTAACCCATGAGCTCCGGAATGACCACCGGTAAACCGTATGTTCCAGTATGGTCACCAGTTAACCGAGTGCTCCAGTATGATTTCCGGTTAGCTATGCGTTGCAGCGGTCAAGAACACCTCAAATGATCTAACCGAAGCCCCACATACTGATGAGTGACGATCCTCTTTATAGAGGATATGTTTGATATGTTCAATAAATAAATAAATGAATAAATAAATAAATGACGATATCCAGGGACATGCACCCCTGGCCTCCCAGCTGGCCGCCAGACGGTGGTGCTCACCCGAAACCGTCGGGCCGTGTCCATCACGTGCGCTCGGTAAATGCCCAGCACGCCGTGGCGGCTGGCAGGAGAGTGCAGCTCCCGCAGCAGTCCGTGCACCAGCTGCTTGATGGCCGGGCCGGCCGACATCCTGCGGCCTGGCCAGAGAAAAGAGTGGTTAACCTGTAGTTAGGGAGGTACAGACATGTAACCATCATCATTCATGCTGTTGTGCCGTTATGAAGGACACTCAAAAAGTTCTGGGCCCAATCCAAATCATAAAGGAGTTTGAATTTCAGCCAGCAATGCTGTGTGTTCCTGTGTGCCCTACAGAGTGCCATGATGGCCAGGTGGAGAGTCTATTGTTTTTTATAGTAAATTCTTACAATAACTAAGTACCTATAGAGAGAGCCATCCTAGGTACTTGTGCCATTTGCATCTGCATGCTGCTGGAACACTTCTAATACTGTCAAGTCCCAGTCCACACAATGTACAGACTGTTCAGAATGATTACTTGCATTGTATTTTTAATTTTTCAGAAGAGCCTTCATTTTTATTTTCATTTTAAGGCCGCACAGCGCAGGCTTTTTGATGTCAATGTGATGCGATCCAGAAAAGTATTTCCCACTAACATTATAGCTCAATGTGTCAAAATGAATCAATTTGTGCTGTACCTAATAAAGCATATGCCATCAGTTCTTTTTAAGTTGTTTGACACTTTTTCACATGCATAAGCTTTAGGTTATATTGATATGACAGGAACACATTTGAATTTACCTCTAAATGTCTGGTTTGATTCTGCTTGTCGTAAACCATCAAATTAAAGATTTGTTCTAGCAAACCTTCACCTAGAATGTTCATAAAACATTGCACTTACCTAAAATCGAGATAACAGCGTCCAAAGATCCCCTAATTTTACCAAATTAAAGGGACCCTCCCACCTTAACATAAGTTTTGAGTTGAGATAGCCAAGTTTGCGGCCAGGCTCAGAAACCACCATTTATCCTGGTCGCAACCCCCGCAGCTTTATGGTGTTCAAGAAATTTCTTCCCTTTACTTGCAGGGTGGGACCAGCGTGGTCCCTATCTCTTAAAGGGACCCTCCCACCTTCAAAAAAGTTAATGAATTGGCATGAAAGTGATGTCGCTCGGTTCAGAAAGAGCAAAAACGAATATCTACCAAATTTCATCGAAAAATATTCACCGGTTTTCAAGATATTAGACTTTTACTTTTGTTTACTTTTTGGGATCTCCGCTGTTCCTAGCGACTTTATTTGAAAGTGCGGCATTTGTTGCGCGCAAAGCAGCATATACCACCGCGTGCTACAAAACGTTTTAGTCAAACATTTAACGGACGTTCGAAAGCCTGATGACGTCATCAGATTCCCGTAATGGTTAAGACAGGGGGTGTCGAAGTCTAGTAGGAAAATCTGGCAAATTCCCTGCGTGACGTCATGTCGGGACTGACCGACGGCACCTTGCACTGAAAGATACGGCAGAACGGCTATTTTTGAAAAATGATTAAAAATACTTTTGTGCTGTTTTGACACATAAAACGCTTATCAGCATGTTTCTCATCATGCGATAAAGCCATATCCGTGGTCGAAAATAGCTGAGCCCCTCCCAATTTCCAACCACCGACCTCATAAGCAAAGGATGTAAGCGTAATCCTTAAGGGTGACTTTCCAATACATAATCGTACATATGCGTCCTTATGGAAATCGGTAGTGTGGCGATTGGCGACGCGCGCGACATCTGTGTGGCGACCAAGTGGCGACTGTGGCGACACCTGGTGGCTGCTTTTCTGCTGTATGTAGGCATAGGGGTTTTGCCAGTTATGGTTCCTACTGCTACACAACTATGTTGACCCAATACTAGAAAGTTATTTTGCCAGTAAAAGGCAAGCAATTTGAAAGTCAATTTATAAAATTGCTTATTTATGATAACGAGAAAATAATAAAGAAGTTTTGATTGAATATTTATTAAAATATCCAACCGCGAAACTATATTCTGGTAGGTTTAGTAGAAATTAGTCCGTGCAACCTTGTATTTAGGGCCTTGGGTTAAGAGATAGGGACCACGCTGGTCCCACCCTGCAAGTAAAGGGAAGAAATTTCTTGAACACCATAAAGCTGCGGGGGTTGCGACCAGGATAAATGGTGGTTTCTGAGCCTGGCCGCAAACTTGGCTATCTCAACTCAAAACTAATGTTAAGGTGGGAGGGTCCCTTTAACCATTACGGGAATCTGATGACGTCATCAGGCTTTCGAACGTCCCTTAAATGTTTGACTAAAACGTTTTGTAGCACGCGGTGGTATATGCTGCTTTGCGCGCAACAAATGCCGCACTTTCAAATAAAGTCGCTAGGAACAGCGGAGATCCCAAAAAGTAAACAAAAGTAAAAGTCTAATATCTTGAAAACCGGTGAATATTTTTCGATGAAATTTGGTAGATATTCGTTTTTGCTCTTTCTGAACCGAGCGGCATCACTTTCATGCCAATTCATTAACTTTTTTGAAGGTGGGAGGGTCCCTTTAAGCCCAGAAATAAAAAATAGCGTTCAACCCTTGCGTTCAACGTTCAGTGCGTTCAACACACGTTCAACAACAACAGGCGTATCTTTTGTCTCAGCTGCGTCAAATTATGCGTCAAATTTTTGTGCTTCCAAAAACATCCGTTGCTGCCATATTGAGCTTTACCCTACCAATACACCGAAAGGGCCGAAAGGTAAAGTCAAGGCCCTAAATACAAAGTAATCTTACGTAATCTTACGCCGAAACACTTCACCCAAGCTCCCCCCGAAGTTCCATTCCTACAAAGCCCCAGATACACCTAAATTCCTAGTTTCTGCTCTTCGTCAGCTCTGACACCATACGAGGATGCTGACATTTCAAAGATGCATAAACATTGAGTCCGCTCCAAATGTCGACCCAGTCGTTCTGTATGCGACGCCCCGGGCACCCCCGTCCAATACAGTCGTGATATCGGCCGGATGTATTGATAAATGATCGGCAGCACACGTCACAAACGGGCGAACACCGGCCATGCGGGAGTAACAGATACACAATACACGGCAGCGTAGGCTGATCAACTGGCCAGTCGGTTAAACACCGCGCGGCGTAGGTAGACAAATATGGCCGCCGCTGCCGATATTTGTCAGCAGAAACACGCATTTATCGCTATATTTGATTCAAGTTACTCTACCGCGCTTAGCATAACAATTTGCCAAAATACGACATTCAAATCGCAGGACTAGATTGATCATGCGACTTGCATGAAAAATCAAAAGGCCACGGCCCTCCGCCGGCGGCGGTGAGGCGTTCACAGACAGGAGACTGAGTCGCGCAGCGCGGGCGGCCGGAGCGGTCCGGCGCGCCCCATACCCGATCACCACAGCGGGCGTACCGCCGCGTAACAATGCCCAATCAACAGACCGGCTCTGCGCTCACCTGCGCGGACGTCACTCCTCACTGCAATCATATTGCATAGCAAACGAATCGAACACTTCACAGAGAGCACACACAAAGTAAGACGGAAATCCTGAAAATCGGTGGTATGGAAAGGAAAGCAATACGCGCCTCACTCCGGGCGGCGTCGCAATAAAAGCTACGGAAAATGATTCTAATCTCCATCAGTGATAATGTAGGCTACGATCCCCCTACAAACTAGCTGCGACACACGTAAAACACATACATATACAGAATGCAAACGCACCTAGGCTTGCTCCGTTATAAGCCATTTCGTTTGGAGCCGCTGCTTAAATAGAACTCAACCTAATTATTAGTCTTTATCCGTTCTCATTGGCGAGCATTCAGGTAAAAAATTAATGTAGCTTGCATATGTATACGCACTTCAGCAGCGATATAGAGGCAGCACGCGCCACGCCATGTCATGTGCTCGGATGATACAGCGGCAGTTTTTGGCGAAACCTCGGCGGCGTCAGCAGATTGTTTGGCCCGCCGGTATCAGGAGGCACCCGACTCCAGTTGGCTGTCCGGTCCGCCGGAACGGAGGAATCCGGTCCGCCGGAACGGAGGAACCCGGCAACAAGCTCAGGCTGTTGGGAGACGGATACAGAAAGTCAGCGTTTTGGCTTATGCCTGAAACGGACTCTTTCCGCAGTCAGGAAATCGCATGCGAGAGCCTATTCAAATACATGGAAGCACGCTCGCATCAATCGCACGCACCTCCCAGATGCGATTGATGCGGGAAGAATTATAATGTATTTGAATAGCCTCTCGCATGCGATTTCCTGAACGCGGAGAGTTTGTTTCAGCCTTTAGACAGGCAGCGATAGAGCGGTTAGGACGATTTTTATGCGTACATCAGGTTAGCCATAATGTACTGATAGCTTATCCGATTTAATGATAAATCATACTTTGTTACTTAATCATTTCTTCATAACAAAGTCCAATTAAAATCGCTTAACTGGCCAGAATCTTCCATAGGCGGCGGAACGGGGAGGGCACCGGGGCACCGTGCCTCCCCCTTTGAATTTGGCATTTTTACATTAGCCCTATGGGTGTTGCATGGAAAGTATGGGACCAAAAGTCGGCAGTGCCCCCCCCCCCCCTTAATTGAAGGTGTTCCGCCGCTACTGGAATCTTCGATATGGCGAACAGGTCAACTTGGGACTGAACCCCACGTTCTGACTGGGCCTGTATTCCAGGGTCCAGGGACTGGCTAGGACTCCCATCCCTCCGTCACCACCCCCGCCCCCGTCAGCTCCTCACCGTCTCCCTCTCAGCGGAGCGAGCTGGCCGTGTGCTGCTGGATCTCGATTTTCTCCACCGTCATGTCGGGGTTCATGTCGGTGGCCTCCTGGATGGCTCTCCGCAGGGCGGCGTCGTGGTCGACCAGGTCACTGCTGCGGACGGCGGGCGCCCTCTGTACCAGCCGCGACTCGGCCACCGAGCTCGCCGTGTACTGCCGGAGCGGCGGAGGAGGTTGAGGGGTGTCTCGACATACAGGGCCTCTCGGGTGGTCCGGGAGGTGAATGGGCGGCGCGAAAGTGGCTTGTTATAAAAGGGGAGAGGTGAGCGAAGTGTTCGCGGCAACAACTGCCTAGCATAATTTAATAGAGCGCTTGGTATAAGGAACTCAGTCCATCCCACAGAACTCTACCATGTTATGCACATAAGACTTTTAAGTTTTCAACGAAGAATCAGCCAGTGCCACCTCCCTGGCGAAGCAGCTGATACTGACGACGTGATACTGTAAATGGGAATAGCCCTTCCAACTATTTGTCACAATCTGACACAGGCACTTGTTCTGCGGTTTCCCTCACTTAACGTGCGTTCGCGACTCACCTTCCTGGTCTCTGTGGTGACCAGGGGCTCGGCGCTGGCCGGCGGACTGGCCGGCGCACCGCCGCCCACGCCACCCGGGCCGTATTTGACCGCCTCGGTCCGCACGATCGGGTCACAGCCGTCCACCTGCGCACAGGGCGACAAGGCGTCAGAAACAAGAACTTGTAAAACAGCCACGGGGTATGATGGTATTCTGGGGTCTCGGATAAAACAACATTCGCCGTACGATACCGTATTTTTACCGGAAAAGTGATCGCTGGTCACTGAGCTCAAAGGGTCTTTCTGAAGTAAAAGTTCAAGCCATTTTCATACATGGATAAAATTCAGAATTATGCAAAGCAATTAATGTTCATTGGTGTTAGGACTTACGATAGTAAGGTAATGACTACGACTGTCAATTCACTGATGCAGGCAAATTAGGTAAAAATCTGGAGCGTTTTATAATATACGGAAGTTAGTAAAAAGTTAGTAGTAAATATGTAGAACCGTAGCCCACACACACAAACATAAAGCATATTGAACGAGATTATACTTTTTTGTCATCAAGAATTAGGTAAATCTCTCACGCTCCAATCATTGCCTTTATCGTTTGACTATTCCGAGACAACGAGGCAGACCCTTCCCTGATTCTGCTAGAATTGTTTGAGGATCAACACATTCGTGACAAACGTTGATTCAGTAGACATCAAATAGCCCATTGCAATGAAATATATCAAGATTGACGCAGAATTTAAACCATTTCCATATTTTCAACGCTTGTAAAATACCCGAATCGAGACTTTTAGAATAGCATCATTCGATAAGAAAAGTAACGCGTTATGAAATAATACATCTTCAACACCTAGCAGAGCACAGGGAGCACCAGATACGTTGTTACTTGTTACAATATGAATATCAGGAACAAGCCGCATTTGACTGAGAGTGAGACAGCTTCACAGTACGGCACATCATGCCGACCAACAAAATATTTGTGAATTTCTGGCTTCAATTCCATCTGGTATATCAGAGTTTGAACTCCTATAGGAACAACGATTAGTTATATTTGTTCTCAATCCCGTTCTAATTCCATATGATCAGATTATTAGTAAACACAGCGCACCTGGGGTTATCAAGTTAGCTACACGTGTAAGAATCTGTTAGCCTACATGTCACCGTCAACACGTTAACATATGAAAGGCACGCAAATGCCACGCTTCATACCCATGCAGTGCACAATTATACCAGCCACAAGATCTCATCCAACACCGTGCATTAGAACGAAGCGCATGCTGCTGTTTAAAAAAAGTGAAGTTTGAAGCATCAAACCCAGCGATTAGCCACACCGACAGCGACAGATCCCGAGCGAAGGACGCGGCCGGAGCGTTGGTGCCGTGTCGACCCTACCTTTGACGCCGGCGGGGGGTCCCCCGGTCCCGCGGCGGGCACCAGTGGCGGGCGCAGCACCTGGTCCGACTCCAGAGTGCTGTCCAGGTCCACGGCAGCGTCCGCCGGCCGGCCGCCCACCTTCGCGCGCTTCTCGGCTCCCGCCTCCGCCTTCGGAGTCTCCGAGTCGCCGGTCGAGAGCCGCTTCGTGCCAAACTTGGTCAGACTGCCCCCGCGTCGGGACGGCCCGGGCTGCGGCTCGCCGCCGGCGGCCGCCTCGGCGGCGCGCGGGTTCTCCGAGTGGACCAGCGCCTCGCGGGCGCCGGCCAGCTCCGGCGAGTCCGCCCGCAGGCCGGGTGTGTAGCTGAAGGCGCCGGCGGGCCGGCCGGTCGGAGAGACAGAGGAGGGGCGCGCCGCGCGCTCGGCGGCACCCATCTCCACGTGGACGGGGCCGAGCGCGCCGGGCGTGTCGTACTGGAAGTCACGGCCGCCGGTCTGCAGACACCGGCCCAGACATCATCGACGGCAGACGCGCACCGGCGGCGGGCGGCGACAGCCCGCCACGGCCAGCCGCACGTATACTATCCATCCAACGTGCCACCGAAGGCCAGAAGCGATGACCCCACGCCCACCGTGTGCGAAATGCAATTTAACAAAAAAAAAAAAACTTACTGTACTGTGCAATTAAGATGACATTCATCGTGCATCATTTATGTACATTGTAATTCATACCCGTAACGAAAAATCTATTGGCAAAATGAATGGTTCCTACTTAACACAATAAACATTTTTTTTATATATAATCGTCCAGGGGTAAGGGACAAAACACGACTCAACAATATCTGACCTCCGGATCCAGAGCATCGCTGTGACATGCCTCACGGCTATACACCGACAGGTGAGGGGACAACAAAATAAACTGAACAGACATGCTCAGGCAGTGATCCCTCGGCCCCACACCAGGTGCACGGCACGGCAGCAAAGTGACCAGACGGGAAGCCGGACGGACAGACGGCCCCCGGTCGGTGGTCGGCGGTACTTACCGGGGAGCGGGCCCTGCCGGTCCGGTCCGAGTCGGTCTGCATCGGCGGCAGAACGGCCACACCACCCACCGGCCTCTGAGGAATGGGCGACTCTGGTCAGGTCATAGCAGATAGGCAAAGGTGTCTATAAGCAGCCAGGTCAGTGATATATGAACGCGTCTCGGTCTAAAAAAAAAAAAACGATAAAGTTAATGCAGGATAAAATCATCAACAGTGTATGATTATACCAATATTTCAAAAAGTACAATCACGAGAGTAAAGTAATCATTAAAATAAAAACGCACACCATTCAAAAGACCCGGGTTCAAAATTTCTTATTAGGAAACCACTGTAAAAGCTCTAAAGACTAAGCATCGAATAGACAAATCCAATGATTCATTTCGGCCACGGTGTCAGGTAACTATTAACGGTGACACAGGGAACATCAATGTAAGTTAGCGCCGGTATAATCCGAACATGCAGCATACCAATATGCAAAGGCGCACAACATATACCTATCCACTTATCGCATAGAAGCATCACAAAAGCCACATGCAAATCATGCAAATACAGGCCGAGGAGACATCAGTCAGTGAAGCAAGGCACGCCACAAAAACATTTGGGTATCCTTACCTTTTGGCTGAGCGCCCTTCGCGAACACCATGGAATGGAAAACCCACAACGTTGGAATAGGAACGACCAACGATACTCGATACAACAGCATCAAAGACCAGAAGCAGCCAACGGCAGTAATGTAGATGATCACCGAGGCCGAAACACAAGTGGAGAGTCACGGACAACAGCGAAGCACCCGACGAGAATCGTGTCTGCAGGACACGTCGACCAGTGGACGAAACACGGACGGACCGCGGGAGGCTGGGCGGAACCGAAGACAAACCAGCGGCGGCAAAGCGGGCCACGAAAGGTCCAAAAGCGGCTGGACGGACCAAGGGCAGTCCAGCAGCGGCAAGACGAACCAGAGGCGGATGGACAAACCAAAAACGGACCAGCGTCTGGACGCACCAGGGACAGATCAAAAGCGGTTGGACGGACGACCAGCGGCAAAGCGTACCATAAATGGACAAGCGGTGAGGGGACGGTCCACGAACTAGCCACCGGCGGCTAGGGGGACACGGACGGACACCCAGCGACTTGATAGACTACCAGCAATGGCCAAATAGGCCATAGACGGACCAGCGGATGAACGGACCACGGATGGACCAGCGATAACAGCACCGATCCCGGACGGACCTCGGACGGGCCTGAGGCGGTAGCTGGACGGACGACAAACGGACAACAGCCCCAGACGGATCCTCGGACCCCGGCCACACCTTATCAAACTGATAGCCGGCGCGGCTGCGGCTGCGACTCTGCTGCAGCGGGTGGGTGCGCGGCGGCAGCGGCGGCGCGTCGTTGGCGTAGATGGGCTCTGCTGGCGCTGCGAACTCGGCGCTCGGCAGCTCGTACACCACGGTACCGGGCGGCGGGGGCGGAGGACGGCTGTCGGCCAGGCGGCGGGCCTCGTACACCGTCGGCTGGCCGCTCGCTGGCGACCAGGCGCCGCCGTACGCACGGGCGTCCGGCGGAGCCCGCGGAGACGAGGCGTCACGATCGTACGGCGGCCGGCTACCCTGGTCGTAAGGCTGACTACTCTGGTCGTAAGGCTGGCTACCCTGGTCGTACGACTGAATACCCTGATTGTAAGACTGATTACCTTGGTCGTAAGGCTGACCCTGATCATACGGCTGGCTATTCTGATTGTAAGGCCGGCTGTCCTGATCGTACGGCTGACTGCCTTGGTCGTACGACTGACTGCCTTGGTCGTAAGGCTGACTTCTCTGATCGTAAGCCTCCTGGTCATAGGGCCTGCTACCCTGACCATAACGCTGGCTTCCGTGATCGCAGGGCTGACCCTCCTGGTCATAGGACTGGTAAGACTGGTCGTAGGAGCTGTTTTGGTCGTAGGACTGGTTGAACTGGTCCGGGGTTGGAGTGCCCCGGTGGTAAGTCCAGCTGCCCTGATCGTTGACTGTCGACTGACTGTCTTGCTCGTACGACTGGCTGCCCTGGTCGTAAGAGACGCTTTCCTGGTCATAAGAGTGATTTCCATGGTCATAAGGGCGGCCATTCTGATCATAAAACTGGTTGCCCTGATCGTAGCGCTGGCTTCCCTGCTCATAAGGCTGGTTTCCGCTGTCATATGGTCGTCCGCCCTGGTCGTATGAAGTCTTCATGCTCAGTTGTTGCGGCGAATCCCTATTACGTCCGACGTACTCCTGCTCTTGTCCGAACGGCACCAGAGTCGGCAGTCGCTGCTCGTAGGCGGCGGCCGGCGCCGGCTCCATACCGTACTGTTCCGACACGGACCCACTTCTCCCCAGCGGCGCGGCGGCCGACGGCAAGTTGTATACAGACGACAGCGTGGTCGGACGCTCATACGACGGTGCCATGGCGGGCACGGTCGTCTCCTTTTCATAACGCGGGTGGATGGCGGCGGCCGACGGGGACTCCAACTGGTACACGCTACTGTACTGAGGGACGGCGTCCACAGCGGGGAGCAGCCGCGGCGGCGGGCAGTCGGGCCCGGCCGGCCGGCGGCGGGACTCCTCAGGCCGCAGGGCCGGCGGCGACGACCAGGAGGACACGGAGCTGGGCGGCGGGGAGACAGGGGTCAGGAGCGGCGCCTGAGTCACTGGAGGCGGCGGCTGACTCGGCAGGGGCGGCGGCGGCTCAGTGGGTGACTCGGCAGGCGGCTCACTCAGCGGCAGCGGCGGCGGCTCGGAGGATGGAAGTGCCGGGGGTTCCACACTGAGTTCTGTCGGTGGCAGAAGTGCTGGTTCCGCTGCAGACTCCGTCGGTGGTCTAGTCAGCGGCAGTGGCGGCGGCTCGGTTGAAGGCAGTGGCGGTGGCTCCGTCGGCGTCTCGGCCGGCGGCGGCTGGTGGGACGCCGTCTGTGACTCCGCCCCGGTGCCGGTGGCCGGGTGGTGCTCCTCCCGTCCGTCAGACACGCCGGGCGGCGCCGGCGGCGGTCGGCTCGGCCGCGGGTACACCAGCGGCGTGTTCAGCGCCTGCTCAAACGGCGGCGGACACTCGCCAGAGATGAGGGAGCCGCGCACGTCAAACGAGCCGCGCTCGGAGGGTTCGGACCAGCTGAGGTCGCCGGCGTGCGTCACCCCGCCGAACACGGCCGGGTTGGCGCCGGGCGGCCACAGAGGCGCCGGCTCCGTCAGAGCCGCCGCCGGGTCGTCGCTGTCAGCCGGCGCCGCCTCCGGCTCCAGCGCCGAGTCCCGGCTGCGGCCACTGTTGGCGCCCGTCAGGATGGACAAGATCCGTCCGCCGGTGGTGAGCAGGCCGGGCTTCTTGGCCGGCCGCTGGCGCACCTCGCTCGGTAGCAGCTCCGGGGCGCCGACACTGACCTCCGGCCGCGCCACGGTGCGCGAGTACAGACTCTCAGCCATCTGATCATCACCGTCCAGCACCGGCTGGCTATCACCGAGAGATCCGTCCGCCAGGGGCACCACAACTGGCCCCTGCTGGTCGTCCAGCGATGTGACGCTGCGTACCACACCCAGCTCGTCGCCGCTCTTCTTCTTACGGAACAGGGCCGGACTCTTCCAGAAGGGTTTCTTCTTGTCCTGGGAGTTCTTCTCACTCAGATTACCGAGCGACTTTGCCATACGCATCTCATCTTCGCCAGTTGTTGCCTTTGAGTCGAAACTGTCTCTTCTCTTCGAAACAGCTTCATCTTTGTCCTTTTTCGGGAATAGATGCCAGCTTTTGCGTTTGTCACGTTTTGTCTCCGCCTCGGCGAGCACGGGTTCGGAGCCGAACGCGGCCGTCTCCATATGTTCGGGCGCCTCTCCGGCGGCGCGCGGGTCCTGCGCGGCCCCATCCTCCTCATCGGTATCGTCCTGCGGCCGGTCGTGATGAACCTCGGCTCGGAACGACTGCCTCTCCGGCTCGCGGCGCGAGTCCAGTGCCACTGGTGCCGCTGACAGGCCCGCCGTGCTCTCATCGGCGGCCGTGACGACACTCTCCTCGGCAGCGGGCGGGAGCGGCCGCTGCCAGCCGCTCGGCTCGGCTTCCCCGGCTCCCGGAGCGCCCGGCCGCTCCGCCGGGCCGCCGCCGCCGCCGCCGTCCCGCACCAGGGCGCGCTCAGCCGCCTCCACGTCATACACCTCGTCGATGGAGTCGTCACTGATGACGCCGCCAGTGGAGAACGTCTCGTCGGCCGGACCGTCGTCGACGCTGAGCTCGGCTGGGGCCGGCTGTCGGCTCAGGGAGTCGTCAGGAGCCTCCTGGGAGACGACAGGAGGCAGCTGCTCCTCACCCGACACGGGCCGCTTCTTGGGCGGAGCGGGGAACAGCGAGAGGAACATCTTACTGACGCCGTCAGACTCCTTCCCCAGCTTGGCGGCCTTCTTTTCACTCTTCTTCTCCTCCTTTTCCTTCTTCTTTTCTTTCTTTTCGTCTTTCTTTTCCTTCTTGTCGTCTCTTTCCTCCTTATCGGTCTTCTGTTCGTCCTTCTTTTCATCTTTGTGGCGTTTGGGGCTTTTATCTGTACCTTTCCAGAACCGCGAGAGGCCCGGTTTTCCGCTGTGTTTGCCGGCCGGACCGGAGAGCTGCGGGTCTGAGAGGTGCTGCTGCTCGGCGAGCTGTGACCCCGGCTGCTGGTGCTGCTCTCCCCACATCGACCCCGAGAGGGGTCTCTGTTGTTCGGCCGGCCTCGGCGCGGCCATGTGGGTCGCAGCCATCGACACGGGCCGCCGGCCCTGGCGGCCGCGCTGTCGACCCGCGGACGGCGCCCGCGGCGGCAGAGCTGGCGCCGGCCCGCTGTCCACCTCAGATGTCGGCTCCAGCTGAGCCACCGTCGGCGGCGGCGGTGCCATCTCAGTCGGCGCAGCCTCCTGAGGTTTGGGAGGCAGGTGCTCTGGAGTTGGCGCTCTCTTCGACGGCTCAGCTGCAGACTCCGGCTGCGTTGTAATCATCTGGGGCGGCGTTTGTGCTGGAGCTGCCTCGCGCGCTTTAGCGGGTACGTGCTCTGGTGTCTGGGTGCCGGACGCCGGTGTTGGTGGCTGCTCGAGCTCCAGACCCTCTGGCGGTAGCTCCTGACTGATCTCTGGGGGGCCGCCCCTGCGGCGGCGGCGACGGCGGCCCGACTGACCTCCAACTGACCCCAGCGAGAGGCCGGCGACGCCTCCGGACTGCCGGTGTCGCTGGCCGGGCGGTCCGGCTGGCGAGGCCACCTTCCCACCGCCGTCCGAGGAGGTACTGGGCGGGCGGCGCCGGCGGCCGGCCGGTCCACCCACGGAGACGCCCTGGACGGGCAGTCGCGGCGGTCCGGCGCCCCAGGAGCGGCGGCGCCGGCCGCTGGAGACGGCCACCGGGCCGCGCACGGGCCCCACACCTCCTCCTCCTCCGCCGGCTCCCTCGGGTCGCGACACGTCCGCTCCCTGCACGGCCACCATGGGCGCGCCGCCCGTCACCAGCGTGAAGCCGCGCACTGCCGAGCCCAGCTGGGGCTCATCGCGAGCCACCACCGCCGGCGGGGGCCATTCGTCCTCAGCCGCGCGGCGCCGACGGCGGCGGCGGCGGCGGCGCCCCGTCTGCGGCTGCGGCGGCAGCTCCGGCAGCGACAGCGTCTCGTCGTCGCTCCACGGCGTCCGGTACGCGTCGGCAGTCTTGACGGGCACGGGCGGCGGTCCGTCGGCGCGCTGGGGCCGCTGCCAGGTGACCGCGTCTCCGGCGGCCCAGTGCAGCGCCGGCTGAGAGGCGGTCAGCACCGCCGCCACGTCTCGCGGCTCATCCTCCGGCCACCACTCCTCGCCGAGCGCGTGGGACGAGTCGTAGCGGCGGTCCGGGCGGCCCGCGCGGCGGTGCACGCCCGCCAGGTACGCCTCCGAGGGCGTGCGGGCCGCCAGCCGCGGCAGAGACTCCTCACTGCCCGACAGCGACCACTCCGAGTCCGAGAGACTGGCGGCGCGCTCCCGACGATCCTGCACGATAGGGGATGTTAGTGCGAGATATGGCCATTAGGGACTGGGAGCGAACGTTTGCTGTCAGGCGACCATGCGTTAGTGTGGTACATGCAAATTAATCAACATGCCTGGGCTTATTCAAATCGTGTAATTATAGCGCTGCCGTGAATTTTAACTCATTAGCTTGCTATGATAGCATAACATGCAAATGTTTTATTTATTGTTAGACATTAAAGTATGCTGGTCTGCTTCCTCTTCACAAAGTTAAAAAACTTTAAAATGAGTCTGAATCATGCACGTGCTATTTCAGTCACCACATCAGCCAGTCTACAGCTTGGTCTCTGCGCGTGCTACTACTAGATAGTTCGCCACCATATTCAGGACAGGTGACAACTAGCCGTCCGACTGCAGGGCACTATCAACCCGTACTCACGCCCCGCTCCTTGGGCGGCGGCTGGTGGTTGGCGGGCGCGGTATTCTCCTGCTGCAGCGCCGCCGACTTCCGACTGTGGCCATCGCCGTCACCGCCCCGGACAGCTGTCAAACGGCGCGTCGATTAGATACGGGGGGCGGGCTGATAAAGAATCAATCTGGGGATCCTTCGCCGAATTCAGACTACCCGTACTCGACTCAATATGATGGCCTTTATTCACGCGTGATCCCGTGGCGATTACAGAAGCCGTAATCGCCACGCCATATGTGGAAGGCTTTTGGTGTCAATACATACATACATACATACATACAAACTATGATAAAGGTGCCGTCTCTTTTTTTTCGGAGAATCCAGGTATTGAATGTCCGTTTCGGAAACAATGCAATGATACCAATGAACTGACTATGGCTTGGCGTCATAAAATTATGACAACCAAATTCACCGCTAAAAGCGTCGTCGTCCTCCCCATCGTTCCTAAACCCTTTGCTTTCGGAGGTAGACGTTCCCCGGCATAAAAGCCGGGACACAGTTCAAAACACAGGTGTTGTGTTTAATCAAGCGAGCGGTTACGGGAAAGTATGCCGGATCAGGCCGTCAGGAACACAAACAGACCGGACCGGGACTACTCCCGAAACAGAGACCACCCACGGATCCGGTCAGTAGGACCACTCACGGACCAGGACGGGACCGTGACTCCCCGGACCGGGGCCACTCACGGTGCGCTCCGCCGGCGCTCCAGGATCGCTGGAACTGCGGCGCCGGTCGGTCCAGCTGCTGGGCCCTCAGCCGGGTCTGGTATTGCGTGAGGCCAGAGTACCGGAACTGGGAGCCGAGCCGCGGCAGGCTGGAGCGGCGCGGCGCCTCCGGGGCCATCAGCCTGTCGCAGCACAATCATGAGATGAGTTACATCAATGCAGTGGGCAGTACAACTTTACTACGATATGTGATCAGCAACAGGGGATGTATCTAGAGAAAACAGCGGAGCGACCACAAGAAGAAAAAACGATGACTGAAGTGTTCCAAGTGATTGGCTGTTCCGACATTCCCTAGCAAATGACTTCCTCTTACCCCACTAGCTGTCCCCTTGGTCAAAAAGTCTCAGATTATGCTCCGGACAAAGCATCTCTCACTGCAATGCGCTGCCAGCTTCATTCAATATACCCGGCTGCCAGCTCCCTAGCCCGCGGAGACACCGCAGTAACCGGATACGTTGGTTTTGGTTTCGTGTGCACGGTCTAGCCATAAAGGCTCCAGTACGAACCTGAAGAAGGTGTGGTGCTCGACGCACGTCTTCCACAGCTGCTTGGCCTTGGCGGGGGTGTTCAGCCGGAACCCGATGGTAGTTAGCTGACGCTCGAACTCGCCCGGACGAACCTTGACGTAAAAGTTGTGACGCTTGTAGGAAATCTTCAGAATCTTGGGCCATGCGAACCTGTTTATACGCAGCCTGAAAATAGTAAAACTTCGTGAGCGAAGCATGAGCAGAAACTAATTAGTTTGATACCTTGCATAAATGCAAGGTATCAAACTAATAAAATCAGGTACAGTCGACCACAACTGATAACAACGTAATAATAATGTCTACTATCCAATGCCGATTTCTAAATTCTACCACATTTAAATGACGCCAGTACATGAATTGGCGCACTGCAGCGAGATCAAACCACAGCCAGTGAGCTCCAAAAAGTAGCCCTCAAAGGCCAAGAGTCAAGAGCTGAAGTACAATGGACGGCCTCACCTGTCCCTGAAGACCATTATTCCGGAGGCGCACACGCCCAGCATGATCTCAAAGTTCTCCGAGTCTCGGGCCGGGTGCAGGGCCACGCCATACATGGCCAGCTTCTTGGCGTTCTCCAGGTACTGTAGCTCGGCCTCGGCCGGTGTCAGGCCCCTGTGAGTGTGGCACAAGTGAGTCGGGGTTTAGAACGTCAGATGTTCTGTAACAGACATCTGAGGGCGTCAGGCCCCTGGAACCGCAGGCCAGTCGGAGTTCAACACGTCACGTCAGGTGATGATACACACATTGGTCGGCGCCAGGCCTCTGTCACAGACAGGTCAGGGTATGCTGTATAGTAAGTCGGAAATGTCGGATCCTGCCAGCGTCAGACCTCTGTCGTCACAAACCAGTCGGCTTATGTGTCAGACAGTCTCCCCGGCTGACCTCTGTTCCACCCAGTGTTAAGTCCAAGTTCTATCGGTCCGGTCGTGGAATAACGCACCAAGTTGTAGCCCAACCACACACTATCCTTATACCTCATGATAAAGCAGAGCGATATCAAGTGACTAGGCTGATCTGATCCTGTCATGTAACACAAGGTACCCCAGCGCAGACCCCAAGAAACCAAACAGCTGCTGTGCTAACGACCGGAGCACACCAAAGACCCCACACCGTCTCACCTGAGCGTCTTGTGCAGGTGCGCCACGCGCTCCTCCAGCTCGGGCGTCTGATTGGGCGCCAGCTGGAAGCCGGAGAGGTAGCCGGGCCGGTGCTCGGAGGGATCGTAGTCGCCCAGCTCCGACTGAACCAGGAACGAGCCGAGCATGGCGTGCGTGACGAATGAGCAGGGTAGGCTGCGGAGCAGAGCAGATACGTCAGCTGACAGCTACTGAACGGACGGAACGGCAGGCCGCCCGGGCCAGGCCACCCTGCTTCACGGCACACTGCTAGCGGCTACTAGCGCAAATGGCGCACCAACTGCAGCATTCCGTTGCCATGGAGGCATCAACAAACTCGGACACTTCAATATTGAATGACGCCATCAATTAAGTAGATAAAGTTGACGTTTGAACGTCTCCAAAAGCGTCAACTTTAACTTCTAAGCTGATGACGTCACTCAAGATTGCGGCAATTATGCACCAAAATTGCCCCAATGCGGCAATAGTTAGTGCGCCATTTGCGCTAGTAGCCGCTAGCAGTGAGCCGCGAAACAGGGTCCGGGACAGACAGTATCACATACGGAATAAACGGAACGGCAAGCTGCAACAGAGCCCGTCCGAAGAGATAAAATAGACGGCGTGGATTAGTGGAGAAACGAGCACGACTGGCTTGTGTCTGTGAGTTTCAATAGATGTCAGATACTGGACCAAACAGTACGATACACTTAATCCCAGAGAGTAAGGTCGGAGAAGACGTCACAAAAAGTACGAATTACTACGACGAGCAGTCGGAATGGAACAGACCGGATCACAAAATGGAGTAGGCTGAGAGCGGCATTTGGTCGCTTGTTTATCCAACTGAATGGAGCGAGTCTATTCCAAAGGCGTCCGCAGGAAGGAATTCATTACAGCAGATTTGTTGAAGCGGAAACAAATCGGTTAGTGGGGACTGGAAGAAGCGCAGTTTATGGCGCTGCGCAGTGCGCAGGGTCATGCGGAACCCTCAGTTGTGCCAGTCTGAAATGTCTTGGTGGCAAAAGCAAACAGTACAAACAAAGTCGAGTTGTATTTCGATTTATTTACGACTTCGCCCCCACACCTTGGTCATTTTCTTTTCAGAGGGTGTGAAGAGAGAGTGAGAATACCGCCAGCTCAATAGGCACATACTTGAGTTTATTTGGGAGATGAGGTGAGGGGTGTGAAAAGTGAGGTGCGTGAAAGGTGAGTTGTACGATAAGTGAGATGTATGATAGGTGAGGAGCGTGAATCTGGGATGTGTCCGTCGACTCACCTGCCGGTGATGATGTCATCCCTGATCTGCAGACAGAGCTGGTAGCGGGTGATGTCCTCGGCCAGCTGGCTCGGGTCCAGTGGGTAGAATTTGACCACAAACCGCAGCTGGCACGGCTCATCTGGAAAGCCCGGCCGGGCGCAATTAATAACTCTGATATAGCTAAGGAAAATAAACATTCCCGAATGAAAGCAATATAGGTCGCTTGGTATTCTGTAATTGTGAAAAAAAATGAACGGCTATCCAATTTCAAACTTTAAGAGTTCATGAGAGCTCGAACTAACTACAATACCTACCGTCTAGTCTCTGAGCTAAAACGTATTATGCATGCAGTACTCAATGATTTGTTGAGATTTGGCAGAATCCGGCCGGCTGCACCAAACCATAAACACACGGTTATGACGGAACGGGGACTCCGCAGTTCACAGACCCTTGGCGGGTGGATGCTAAAACTCTATCAGCGATTCAACCCACCTTTGATCTGCTTCTTGACGGGTTTGTCCATCATCAGCCAATTCCGATCCGCATGTTTGTCTTTGTAGACGAGGCCGAAATAGTCCTTCTCCAAGAGGTCCAGATGTGCGGCGACCTCATCCAGCACATCCTGGCCGGTTGTGTTCTTCTGCGGGGTACATGACAACGATGGACGTTTGAAACCAATCACAGGAAGCAAGGAAGAGGGATCGATTCATTCACATACTAAGGCCACTAACCCACTAATCTTCACTCGTCGCATTTGCCGCAACCAGCCGCATGTGCTTTATCAGTAACTTACTGCATAGCTTACCGATCCGTGTAATTTGAAAGCAAGGCCATTTAACTTGCAAGAATATCGTAGCGCGTGTGAAGAGGCGTGTGATTCACAACATAACTCAGTTATCGGTGAGTGTGGTGCCCGGTCCGTATCGGCTGATACGGCCCTGAGCTCTGAGTCAAAATAAACAGATAGGTTACTAAAGCATGACGCCTAGAAGCGAGAGCTCGTATCGTGTTTCTATCCGTATCTATACGGAAAAGTGATACTATAGCTGGTCATTCGCTGCGCGTTTGATTATCTTTCAACACGTATAGGCGCAGGGAAGCAGGGACACAAGAGAGTGGGTCGTTGCATGGTGGTGGCATGATGGACGCCCACGTTCATAAAAAAATGTTGCATAGACGGAAACTTTTTACTCCAGATATACAACTCTATTTCCCCATTGCAAAGAAGTAAAAACGCTTAGGCAATAACACTACTGAAGCCACAGAAATCGATTCTGATGGCACTTAACGAGCTGAAATCGATTCCAGTTCAGCGGAATCCAGTTGGACAAGTCTGCTCTCGTCCAAGCGGAAGGCATCCCAGTTCGGGGAAAGCGACATATCGCCCGACAACCCGAGCTGACTCCGGCCATTTGACCCAGCCGGAGCTTTACAGTCGGACCAAGTCAACTGGCGGGCGCCTGCTCTGAGGGCGGGCGGGCTGAGCCGGTCCGAGCGCGGGCACCGGGCCCCCTCCGCCACGCCCAGCTCTCACTCAGGGATACCCGTCCAGGACAGCCGCCCCAAACACTGGCCAGCATACAATTTGAAGAAACGGAAACGGAAACGCACAGGGGGCTTGGGACTGCACTTTGTACTTTGCGTGATGCTGGGAAGGATTTCGACACAAACGCTGATGATTCGCATTAACAATGACGCAAACAGGCCTCAAAGGTGATCGATCAGTTGTTGACCTTTGCAATCTCTGCTGCGTACCTTGGTGCAGTCATGACGCAAAAATGACTAAGTATAGTTCCGTGAAGCCATTCGTGCATACGACATTTCAAACCACGCATGGTTGCGCTACGGACGGAGCTGGGCGGGGCTAATGAAGTTGCCGGTGTTATTTCGTTCACACTGAAAACAATAACTGACAAGGGGACACCTGCACGCGAGTGAGACCGTGCGGCGCCGTTCGGCACATCTCCTACGCGCGGTTTGACGCCGTAGCCCAGTTATCGGCGCCTTATCGCAGGTGAGAGTGCCGGCTATCGCTGCGGCGCGCCGTATCGGCACCAGTGCAAACAAAGGTAACGGCGTGTCGCCGGCGAGCGTTGCAGGTGCTCGCGGGGCAGACTCGGCCGGCTCGAGCTCATACAGCGCGGCGCCAACGCCCACCAACAGGACCGGGGCTGACTGACTCTCTGCGATCTCACCCGGCCGTGATCGAAGAAGAAAAAATCCTTAAAAAAAACTCTATACAGAGTAGGTGTGCTTCCATGAATGGCACATATACTTAGCACTTAGCAGCAGTGTTTGATGTTTATTGCGCCGGTCGAAAAAGATGGAGTTGCAAGGCCGCAATGCAGCCTTAGCAAATGTCGGGCTATTTTAAACCCACTATCTCTGAAATATGCAGCCCGTGCTTCATTAGAACTTGTAAACAATGTCATATTTGGATCAAGACCATCTGTTGTAGGCTAGGTTATCTGGATGTATCTCCGTAATCAAGAGCTCTCAGACTAAAGATGACGTTTCGAGCCCGGGTAACGATATGAACAACTATCAGACAAAGAACATCGACCGCACAAAAGTTTGTCTTTGTTCAAGAAACTTTTAGCTCCGGACTAATTCCGACTTTCAGGAGCCATGCACAGCGCTTACCCCGATGTGACAGTCTAGAAGTGTGCCATCCAGTAAGGTGACCTGCGCCAGCGTGGTTTTCCCTTTGCCGGCCGAGTGCGACACAGACGATTTTCCATTTTCTTTGGTGATTTGGGATGCCCCCATCACCATGGTTCACTGCGGCTGCAAAAAAAAGAAGAAAACATCAATAGCCTGAAGAACCCATCGCTAGGGTTGCCTCGGCTGGCTAACGATATGCAGTCTGGAGACGGAGGGACGTGCAGTTTCAAAGTAAAATATGAGTTTTGCTTGTCATTTTTTACTAGGTACGCAATCAAAACGGTGATACAGTCATAAAGGATACAAATCTTAGCATTGCCTGCCTAAACACTGCCCTTCCGAAATGATATGACATGTGTGATTCATGCCAAATCGATCGCAAATGACATTCATTGCAAGCGCGAGACGCATACTCTATACCAATGTGCCCTTGACAGCCGTTGACTACGTGCCTTACGGAATGCTTTCAACAATGATGCTTATCGGTCCTCGAAGAGTTTCTCAGATTTCCAGAACCAGTCACGGGCCGAATCTGACACCGCCCTTCCCCCGGAGATGAAATCCGATACCCTCTCCTCGGTCCCCTCCCATCCCCCCTGCCATCCATGCTACAATGTCAGTATCGAATGGCCCCGGGAGGGGGGGGGGGGGGGCGATCGGGGCAGGAGAGGCTGGAACGGGAACGCCAACGCCGACCAGGGCCGGAGGGAGCAACAACTAAAACGTGGGTGGGAATGGCATACCAGATACTAGCAGCGCATGCGTGGCACCGGAGATAATACTCTGGGCCCAGGGGACCGTTATACAGAAACCAACCGGAAAACTATCTGCCATAAGCATTTGTATCATCCCATTTGATCCTTTTACCATCACCAGATCTTTACCGCCGATCTATCGAAGCTAAATGCGGCTGGCAATAAAAGGGGGTATGGCCAGGGATTTTTGAAGAGCACAAACTACCCCTGGTAGCTTCATGGGGAAACATGGGAACTGCTTATTAGCACCCAGCATTATCTAATCTTTGCTCAAATAGGTGCATGAAATCATGAATTTATTCATACAACCCTGGCAAGGTCCGTTTAGTTTTCACATGTTCAACTTTAGCCTGACATTGTACATGGCATTACTTATGTCAGTTGAGAGAACTGAGACTTTAGGCCATCATAGTTTTACCTCAACATCCAATCAAATTCAGCTGATGAGTAAGAAGAGACACCAATGACATCAGAATGAGCTGCTTATCCAGTAAGGTAGGTAGCCCATGCAGCATAACATAGCTGAAACAGCTTCCTGATCTCAGTAAGTCTGACCAGTGACCTGACCAGTAACCTTGAGCCAAGGTCAACACTTGGCACCCAAGCCAAGTTGACTTCCTAAAGGGACAAGCCAGTGGGTTTAGATGGTTCACAGAAGACACCCCGACCAGACTGCAAAATTCTCAGACTGCAAAATTGACAGGATCACATTACTGCAGGGGTATTCAACCAGTGCACTGTGCAGTGCAGTTCTACATACTATGGTGCTGAATATGCAGGTTCTGAGTGAACTGGTACCTACTGGGCCTAGTATGGTAGAAAAAGAATGGTTTAAAATTCGGCATTAAATTGCATGTCTCATTTGGTGCAAGCTGGTTCGCATTTCCTCTCCATCTCACCATGGGCGTAGGAGCCTCACGAAAAGTGGGGAGGGGGGCAGTGAAACATCAACCTCAGCCTGGTTGCTGTGGGCCTCTGTTAATTCATTGGGCACCCTAGCCAGTGATGCTCATGAACTCTATTCATATTAATTAGTAATTACTACGCTTTACAGTCGAATCCACCTCAACCCCGATTCTGATTCAATTTCAATTTCAGGTGACGCCCATCGGTCCCAGTCTCCGCTCACTGCGTAGAGCACCGTCCCACCTCGAGAGGAACTCAATAAACGTGACTAAAACCAGCAGTAAGTGCTCAAGTACATTGATCTTCAATAAATAAAAGAGGTATTAGAAAGAAACTATACCAACCGTCGTAATTGAAGACCGATCCGCTTCAAAAAGTTCTTTTCGTGAGTCCACACCACTGGTGTCCACACACTCGTAAACAAAATTGCTGACGCCAAGGTATATAAAATACTGCTGACGCGATACAACAGACTGGCTCAACATTCGATAGCTGTGGCTTGGAAAGCGCTGCCATATGAAGGAAGTCACTGAACGGATAGGAGACGGTTCATGATTTATTTTTCCCTCACTTTGAGTCAGAATTGATTACAAACTGCTCAATTAAACTTTTTCAGCATTTAAGTCCTTTTGCCATTTATTAAGGATCTCTTGGGTGCTTCATGCCGATCAAACTTGCTATAAAGATACGGATCCGGGATCTCACTCGCACACAGTCGTAGCATTTGACCTTGAACGACCTTGATATGCGAATGCTTACAAAACTGAGTAAAGACATCAGTTTTAACAATGACTAATCCTACGCTTGTAACGCAAGACACCTTGAGGCGTTGCAAACATAAAAGATAAGAAAAAAATATGTATATACTCATTACTCATAAGATATTTTTTACAGATGGAGATGCTCAGAATATGGTAGCACAAAAGCTGCACAAGGCAAAAGGTCAAACTGAGCTCAGCTTCGTATGTAGTATTATATCAAGCTTGAAAAATACAAACAATTTTGTGTATATGAGTAGGTGTTGGATAAAGATCATCGTATTCAATGACCGTGAGATCATCCAACTTTCATCGTAACATCGTAACCCTACCACTCTCACCTGTTAAACTCACCTGTTAGGTTTCCACAACCTCGGCTCGTAAAGGAAGGAGTGGAAACCTATTGCGTGCAGAGACGCGCCAATTCCTTGGGTGGGCAGATGGCTGGACCTCAGGCAAGGAATTGGAATGGTGCGTCTGCATTTGGTAAAACACTGAAAAAAGAAAACTGGTGCGTGTTTTAAGTGCCAGAATCCTAGACAAGATGATCAATTATGTAAATGAGAAAAGAGGGTACCGAAATGTGATACGTTCTCGGAAGGAAAGGTCAGGATAGGTAACCTAGGTTAGTCCACCCGGTCCAGCTCGAGAAGGGCGGGCAGCAGCTACCTAGGGGGTAAGGGCGGAATATGATAGGTAGCCCAGGCGCGTATAACCCCGCCCCAACTTGGGAAGGGTGGGGCGCTTACCTGGGGGGGGGGATGAAGGATGAGATGTGGATCGTTTGCCTTCTCTTATCCTGTGTGTTCGTACAATCTACTGCCCAGTGCGGCTTTCAGTCCCTTTTTAAACTGCACCAGGGACTCCTCGTTCACCAGCCAATCTGGGAGGGCATTCCAATCGCGCACGACTCTGTGGGTGAAAAAACCGTGACCTTGCATCTATAAGACTCCGACACGTTTTTATCTTTCTACTATGCCCGCGCGTTCTGTTGTCGGCCTCCAGATCCCAGAGGATCTCCGGGGATATCTTACTGTGGCCGTGAAAAATCTTCCAACATTTGATAATATCGGCTCGAAGGAGGCGTCCCTTCACAGAGAATAGGTCAAGTTCCTTTAGGCGATCACCATATTCCATATTGCGGAGCCCAATCACATTGCGAGTCCAGAACTCACAAACTTCCTCCTTCCCTCCCCTCACAAACATCAATTTAACGGTAAGTCTCACGGTCATTTATGTGTCTTAACGTAAATTCATGGGTTTTTCCCCATATTCATGGCATAGTACATGGATATGGGTTTTCCCATGTTGTCTTGCAGTAAAAGTGGCCACCGGTCTTAAGTTAGGACGGCCGGTTTCTTTTGCGCGGCGTAGTTAGGTCGCCGCCCTCCTCGCGAGGCCGGTAACGTAAGTTAGGGCCACTAAAAAAAAAGACTCTTCTCAAATTAGGTGTGGATGTGTGGTGGGTTATGGTCAAGGCTATATAAACCGTTATGGTTGATAGGTTCAAATAGAAAAATAAAGCACATTCGTTAACTTTAGGCTGGACTACTTACATCTTGACTGCAAGGTGTAGAGAAGAAAAAGTGGCGAGAAGTTTTGGTAAGTGTCAAGATAAAGACCTAAGAAGAGTTCAAGGATTATTTTTTCATAATCCTATTTTACTTGACATCCTGAATCACTAGCGGCGGAACACCTTCAATTAAGGGGGGAGGGCACTGCCGACTTTTGGTCCCATTCCTTCCATGCAACACCATGACACCCATAGGGCTAATGTTAAAATGCCAAAATCAAAGGGGGGCCCGGTGCCCTCCCCGTTCCGCCGCCTATGTCGTGAATCAAGAAATGAGAACCTAGGTGTTGGACAAAGATTCTTCTGAAATTAGGTGTGGTGGACGTGTGGTGGCAAATAAACATGTCTCACAAATAAAAGAAAAACATACTTAAACCTGACCTAACCTTACCTACTTATCCACAACCTACCAACCTACAACCTAAAACCTACTACCTACAACCTAACCTAACCTTTTACCTAGAATTCCTGCGGTTGCATATTCATATCAACAGCCCCACAATTGTCAATCAGACCTTATATTGACGAATACTGGACCCTCTTCGTTCTTTGTGCTGAATACCAAGGTTAAGCCCTGAAGAAACTGACAACATCATGGTGCACTCAGTTTTTCTGGTTGGTGCACCCCCATGTTGATATGATCCATTCCAAGTCAATTAAAGACTAAGGTTGATCTGTGTTTTCAACTTTGCCCTTTGGTAGGTAGGTACCTAGTGATTTGCATTTTTGGTTCATACTTCAAATTACTTAAACTACAAAGCAAAGAACACAACTGGAGCAATGATCAACAAATCAATGACTGGGTGCTTAAAAACATAATTATTGATTTCATTTTGGCTTAGCTGCAAACATAATTTCAAACATGCTTTTCTGATTGGTCTAGTTAAGTGTGATTTGAAACATGATGGTGTTTTTTGTTTTCTGTTTCTGAAGTTATCACTCATGGCTCACTGTTTTGTTCTTGTATTACAGGACTCAATTTGAATCCCATCATGGCTGGCAGTGTAAAAGCACTGATTCTGCTGGCATTTGCCGGATCGTTGGGCCTCATGTTCCTGCTCCTGGCCTGTGCTCTGCCTCAGTACAACAACTGGTGGCCTCTGTTTGTCATTGTGTTCTACATACTGGCGCCGCTGCCGTACTCGATCGCCCGCCGCCAGCGGGATGACCTGGGCAGCAGCAGTAGCGTCATGGAGCTGGCCATCTTTTTCACTGCCGGCATCGTCATCTCGTCGTTCGGCCTGCCGATCGTGCTGGCGCACGCAGGGCCGGTGATTCAGTGGGGCGCCGCGGCGCTGGTCATGACTGGAAACCTCGTCATGTACGTCACCATCGCCGGATTCTTCCTGGCCTTCGACGGCGATGCCGACTCGTGGAACTACTTCTAGTCGGACTCGTGGAACTACTTCTAGTCGGAGGTCGGGGTCGGCTGGCTGGTCACGGACCGCTGTGCCGCACAGTGCCTCGAGTCCGGCCGACCGTGACGGCGGGGCTCTTCCACAACGCCCCGCCGTGGGGTCTTTCTCATGTGATGTGGACGCTTGCCCCCATCGGGCGCGCCCCATGTCCCCCACGCCACGCGCCCAGCACATTTGTGCACAGTGCTTCTAGTGCGACGACGGCTGTTATTACTGCTGAGAATGCCGGGTCCTGAATCTGATGTTACACCAGCTATTGTCAATCGCCTTTTCTCGTGGTGGCATTATTGGTAGGATTATTTGCGATATTTCCGTACTTGTTTCCTTTCAACACGAAGTATAATGTTTTGTGCATTATTATTCATGCTTTTTGTATAAATGTGCTTTTTATGGTTTTCCCCCATGGCATTGTGAACACTGATCAATGACTGTGATGCTGCTGAATGCTGTTGTGTCGTGTCCTAGATTACTTTTTACCTTGGTGTGTGCTATTTTCGCTGCTTGTGCTTGCAAACATTACATATAACGTCGTATTTATAATAGCTAAACACATTGCACCATAGAGTACGCCGACTGGGATGTGTTTTCTAATTACTGGCTGCTGAGATACGATAACTCGAAAAGTAGGGTGCTGGGGTGTGACCAAGGCTATATGGTGTGGGCACCCATCTTCGAGGGCTGCAGCGTTTGGCAGCGGGTGCTAACAGAGTTCAAATGAGTTCGATTTGGAAACCAAACCTCTGGTACCTTCCGCTATAAGGCATATTGATATGGGTGAGATGTATTCATGAGCTGCGAGGGTTTTCCTCGCATCGTGCTTATGTGCTACGCGCCTATCAATTCGACATGCAGTCCGTTTAAATACGCAAATATAAAGGCAAGGGAGCTTCGGTGTGAGCTTTTATGTTTGAGGTGACAGTTCCTACTTCAAAAAGAGGTCTTCACCCGTCAATTCACGGGTCACGAGTCACGACTCACATCGGTTAGATGTCCATTTTTGCGGTCATCCCTTGGCCGTTATTCTCTTTCACGGTATCGGGTATAAATAATACTTTTATGATCTCTCACACCCGGTAAAGCCTGAAGGTGTCGAGCATTTGGAGACGAGACGAGAGACCTTCAGAACGAGTCATATCCGAATGGATGTGTTGACTGTTGAGGTCCTCTTAACCCGCGCCGGGGGGGGGGGGGGGTGTTTGAACACCCCCTCCCCATGCGGTTTTTCGCAGATGGGTATCTCAAAAACGGCGGCGCTGAGCGCCGCAGTTTCTCCCCGCCGTTTCCCCCCGCGACTTCCCCCCCCCCCCCCCCGGCCCGGCGCGAAGTCGCGGAGCACCGGCCCGACGCTGGTTAACTAAGGGACGATAGTCGAAGACGTGTTGACGGCCGTTCTTTTCTCATACACGGCAAAAATACATCTTTCGGTTTCGTCGCCCTACCTTTCGTCTGCTGTGAAGAACGCAAGTAAGTACTCATAGAGCGTGAAGAAAAACAGCAATGACCAGAGGAATTTTGGACGTTGCTAAAAAGGCTACCAAATCTGGCAGATTATGAAGAGACATAACAAGCGCGCTTGTTATGTGAAGCCAGGGGGGTACGCTCCGGCTGTTAAGCATTATGAAAAATGGTGACAGACGTTTGTGGAGGATTGTCGACGAACTCTTGTTCCGTGAGCAGTACTTACACGCTAGCGGAAAATTCACCAATCAGCGCTCGGCGGTACTCGACGCTGATTGGTCCGACGCTCGTGACGAAATTGCGGGGGACCGCAGTTATTCTCTATGGACCCGAATAGGCTTTTGGATTTCGGAGGGGTTTCTCTAAAATTATATGCTGTTTCGAGCTGTTTTCGAGTTGAAATATATTTCTTATGACTGTTACCTATATAATGGCACCATAAAATCATGATTTTGATAAATATTACCGATGAAATATCGGCCGAAAAGACATGCTGTCATGGTACGGACTGCCCTGCGGCTGATGTGGGGTCCCTAATGCCAGCGTATGGTAATAATGGGGTGACGAAGGGTTATTGGAGACTCTTAGAGCCCCATCAGCATTCAGCATAGGGTCATCAGAGGCCGGGAACGTCCATCAGGGGTCTGAGTAGGCCTGTCATAGGGGCATACATGACACATCATGGCCCATGGGTCAATGTAGATCCATGTAGTTGAAGGGCCAGCATTGTTCAGCGTGGGCTCGCAATTACCTCTGATGGGCATATGCCGTGCCCCGATGGACTAACGCTGGCCCCTGATGAACCATCACCAGCCCCTGATAGGTCTACAAAGCCCACTGCTGGGTCTAAATTGGTCACTGATATGCCCAAATGGGCCACTGAGAAACCCGTACAACATCCCCTGACTGCACCTGCTGGACCAGTGCCGTCCTCTCATGGGCCCACCACAGCTCTTGAATGACCTTTTCAAGTCCCTTGAAGTGCCTTTATTGGCCTAAATGGCCCCTGATTGGCTTATGTGGTCCCTATTGGTCCTATATGGCCCCCATGAGCCCTCAACGTCCCTAGACGGCCTTACATTATATGTCACTGGGCCCTGTTGGGTCAGCACCGGCCCCTGATAGGCTTGCACTGGACCCACCGGGCCTATACCGACCCATGAAGGGCCTATGTCGAGCCCTCATGGGCCTCCGATGACCACACGCCGGCATGTGTGGCCCCATCAGCAGTGGTCCGTCTATCCCATGTACTTACGGTCTTTTTGGTCGATGTGACACCGGTAGTATATAGAAATGTTATGATTAAATGTCGTTATTACACAGTCAAAAGTCACAGAAAGAATATCCAAGCTCAAAAATGGCCTCAAACCCAACAAAAACTGGTACAAATCCCCTTCAAAAGCCGTAAGTCTATTAAACGCCATAGGGGAATAGCTGCAGTCCCCCGCAATTTCGTCACGAGCATCGGGCCAATCAGCGTTGAGTATTGCCGAACGCCGATTGGTCGATTTCCGCTAGCCTGTAAATGCTGCTTGCGGATATAGTTTTGAACAAAAGAGGGTCGCGGCTACTAATTATCGCTTGTCACCACTTTTTCGTCGGGAGCGTTCTACCTGGTTTATATAGCCTTGGTACCTACCAACCCCGACACTACATCGTGGAAGAGCGGACAGTTGAATGCAAGAAACGAAGAAGTTGGACGCTAGGGCCTGACGGCTGCGCGCCCTAACCCACAAAGAAGAAGAAGAAGAAGGATATGGGATATGTTATTTTGGTGATTTTTTGGATATTTTAATGGTAAATGGGCAACCGCAATGCATTTTAAGTATTTTGTAACAACACCTATTTTCTACGTAAATGCTGGTAAGTTATTTTCGTAAAACATGGCTGAGGTTTCCCAAGAAACTTGGTATTCTATATTCTTTAGGGAATAATAACATTTCAATTTATTGTCTCCACTCTCCACTGTGCCATGCTAGTAATGTTTTCAGATAAGTTCTTCTTTAACCCGCGCCTTAGTGGCGGTCTCAGCCAACTTCGCCCTAGTGAGGGGGGGCATATGTTACCACCCACCTCTAACTCAAAAACTAAGAGAGCTAGAAAGACGCGGTTAAAAGCAGTCGATAGCTCTCAATGCGTACGTTTGAAAGTATTTCGGTCATTTTTCACCTTAGAGCAATATTGGGGTCACCAGAGGTCATCAAAGGTCAAAATTTGCCAATTGTCATTATATTTTTCAGAAAACATGCCGCTATCTCAGGAACTATGGTAGCTAGAAAAGCGCATGAAAGAGCAATCGATAGCTTTTGAACTCTCCTTTTGAAAAGGTCATTATCAATACTGACCTCAGGTCAACGGTTTAGCCTCCAGAGGGCAAAAACTCCCAAAATAGCTGTTTTTACTTTAAGTGTTTTTCGACAATAACTTTCGACTACAAAAAGCCACGACATTTATATTGCCAGAATCGTGTTTCCCTCGCCGAGACGCGTCGAATGAACTATAATTTGACCTTGAAAGGTCAACTTGAAAATTTGACCTCAGGTCAAGGTCATGAAAAGGTCATGTTGCATATCAGTCGATGCGTCTCAACGAGACAAACACAATGAGACCATCCCCAGCGTTCTATCTCTTTCCAATCACGAGTTATTGGCAAAAAACTGTAGCCTCAAATGACCTCGGATGACCTTTCTAGAGGCTATTAGCAAAAATGACACCTTGGTCATCACGAGTGGACTAAATCATTGTGATTCTGAAATATTTGGACCGTTCCTATGCGTACACACGGATCTAGAGGCATTTTCATTTTTCTCCATTGACTTGTAATGGAAAGGTCACGCCACTGACCTGACCTTAGGTCAAGGATATAAAAAATCCGAGATATACAAATTGTAGGCGCCCATAACAGCATGCAATCCACGAAGTTTAAAACCTTTCTGACAAACACTGCAGGCTGGACATGACTGCAAACTTTTTTTTAGGCTTGGTCAGTTAACTTGACCTGGTGACCTGACCTGACATGACCTGGGGTCAAAAATTTCACACATTGTCCAAAATTGATGTACCAAAAGCTACCCCAAGCGGCGCGGCGCTACGCGCCGCGGTTTTTTATTCACACGCGAAAAACGCGACAGGGTGGTAACATATGCCCCCCCCCCCCCCACTGGGGCGAAGGTTAATGAACGCTGTCAGATAGATAACATTTTTGGCCCCATCTACTTTTGATGCCATCGGTGCTGGGTTCAGTGGATTTTAGCCTGAATTCTCACTGCAAAGCACAATGAATTTGAAAAGTTGTTGGTGAGAGTGTGGTGTAGTTCTGATTATTATTTTCTATGTTGCATATTTTTCTTGGAGTGGTGTGTCTGGCCTTCATGCAGATTGATTAACATATCATTATTGCGGTTTTCATATCAAAGTGCATGTCCCTAAAATTTAAGGTGAAAAAATCACCGTTTTGTTCAGTTCTGGCTACATATTTCCATAATTTTTGTGTAAGTTAGCGCTTAATTTTCAATTGAGCCAGTACATCCTGCTACCTGATGTCACATTTTTCTGTCTGTCCTTGGGAGGTGTTAATAATGGCTGATAATTTTCTGTTGCTAACAAAGCTTATGTTGCAGAATATTATTTCCTCCTGCTTCCCCCCCCCCATACTTGACAGTTTGAATTGTATTTAGCTTTAGACTCAATTATCAATTATTGAATCATTTTCTGTTACTCTGTTGCATTTTCCCTGTACACAGAGCAGAGCAACTCTTTTCTTTGTTTTGTCCGTTACAAGACATTCAATAAAATGACAGGGAAATGTATTATATATCTGTGACCAGCTACGTTTTCCCTTCTAACCCTCCTGCTTGCCCCCTCGTCTGCCTGACCAGCACCTCACCTGGGCCACCTGTACTCGGCCGTGCTGGCGGACGCGGCCGGCCGGTACGCCGCTCTCCGTCACGGTCGTCCCGTGCTGCTCAGCACCGGCACAGACGAGCACGGCCTGAAGGTGCGCCAGGCGGCGGCGGCGGCCGGCAGCAGCCCGGCGCGGCTCAGCGCGGCCGTCTCGGCGCAGTACCGGACCGTGTTCGACACGGCCTGCGTGCAGTACACACGCTTCATCCGCACCACGGAGCCGGAGCACCGGCGCGCCGTGCAGCACTTCTGGGTACGTGCGCCGCGCCCGCCTCTGCCGCCGGGGTCAGCTCCCGCCGCCGGCTCACGGTCCTCGGCGGAGCTCCGGAGAGGGCTGGACTCCCGCGATTCTGACCGCCCCGCCGGCACTCCAATGCTCTGGCAGACCCTTTGCAAATCGCCCCAGACCATATTCAACAAAGAATCGCGGTGACCTCGCTGACCCGGCGATGGGCGCATAACAACGTCGCTGTACACATGTTCCTGAGCCCTTACACAATAATTATGGGCCTTTACAACTGTTCTTATGAGCGAGATAAATAGTAATGTCAGCGAAGCTCTACTTAATGCGATGGCTATAACAGCATTCAGTGTCAGCATTTCCGAAAGCCAGATTACGAGGGTGCCCCTCTTTTCCAAGGTAAATATCATTGATGCCGATGCTTGTATTGCTTGCTGTGCTGGCGATATTTTGTGTTGAACGTTTGCTAACAGCTCACACTTTTTTAGGACTGAAATATATTTTTATTGTTTCAGAACTTGTTGGATTCGCGAGGATATATTCAGAAAGGCAGTTACGCCGGCTGGTACAGCATCCCCGACGAGTCTTTTCTGACGCCAACACAGGTAAAATGAAACAAATGCATTGATCTTTCGATATTCCACAAAACGCTAATGGAACTGATAGCACTTGATTATTGTGCGAACTTATCATATAGGAAGTTTTATTTGAGACAATTGTTAATAAATATATATCATATAGACAATTGTTATCATATAGGAATCGTCGATATAAGTATATTTGTGTGTTACTATGTCGGTGTGCTAAAAAGATGATGTGACGCATTTTCCCCGTCATTATGCTGCACTCTCACATCACAGCGAGCTACTGTGTGCCGATTTCTCGTTTGTACGCCTGAGGATCGCGCGCTGATTATGTGCCACACCGCTGTGCCGCTCAGGTGACGGAGGAGGTGCGGGGCGGTCAGAAGGTCACGGTGTCACTCGAGTCCGGTCACCAGGTCACCTGGGCCGAGGAGGACAACTACCTCTTCCCCATGTCCCGGCTCCGGGATGATCTCAGATATTGGGTGAGAAACCGTAAGTCAGCCCTTGGAGCGGTGTCAATCAGTTAACCCGCGCGGGGCTGCGGGGGGGGGGTAAATTTTACCCCCCTCGCGAATTTTTGCGATATCTCAAAAACGGCGGCGCGCAGCGCCGCCAAACTTTCAGTACCTTTTCTTACATCAATTTGACACGTTCCCTGAAAATTTGAGCGAAATCCGTCGGAAAATTTTTGAGAAATTGACGTTTTAGTGACGTCATGTTCGCCATTTTCGCCTCAAAAACGGCAAAAGTTCAAACGCCGCTAACATCTTCATTTTTAAAGGAATCAAGACGTAACAAAAAAAGGTTATACGTAATTTTACTTTGTCTATCAAATGGCTATCTCGGTTTTTTGAAAATTTTGGATTTTGGCCTAAATTTTTTCAAAAAACTGACTTTTTTGGGAAAATCATTATAAAATCCAAAATTTTGAGTCTATCAAAAAAAAAACCGGAATATATGTCAGAGAAGTGGTCTATGTGCACCTACATACCAAATTTTAGAAGAATCGGTTCAAAAATGTGGGAGTTATTCAAAATTTTATGACGTCACGACACACAATTTTTTTTGAAAAATGACTTTTTTGGAAGTTCTAGACCTCGTACGGAAACAAAAATAGCACCATTCGATTCGCCGTGAAAAACTGCATCAGATAGACACCTTTTTAGGTCTTAACAACCAACTTCAAAATTTGACCTCACTTGACCTGACCTTGACCTGACCTCGACCTGAAATTCATCCAGAGGTGGTCCATATCACTTATTGAGTGTGCCTATTAAATTCTATGAGTAAAATGACCCATAAAACATGTGTCGCACATGCCCTTTTCTATATTTTGTTTTTTGGTGACCTGACCTGACCTGACCTTGACCTTGACCTCTGAATGATATTGTATGCAACGAATATTGTCTTGGTAGCCTAAGAACACGTTTTGGGCGATCAGTCTCAGTCCATGACTCCATTCTTCGGCAACTACGGTGCAAGGCCGATACTGTAGAAACTTGCAATTTGTACCCTTGACCTGACCTTGACCTCAAACTTTTTTTTTATTCAGGCCTCCCTCCAACGGGCTCTTGTATTGTCCCAATTATAGGAGGGCTCCATCTCCTCCCGGCCACTGTACCCCCACCCCCCAGGCTACGGCTGAAGTGGGAGCCTACCCCACACCTGGTGACACAGCCGGGGACGACGCCCGCGGAACGGGCGGAACCGGGAATCGAACCCGAATCCGGCACCGCCCGCACCGCGGGTCGACGCCTTAAAGGTAGTGTGCCACCTTTGAAAGATTTCCCATTTTATTTTTCCTAGGATAAGAAGCTTCTGTTTTTACCTAATATCGCAAAAAAAAATCAAAAATGGGCCTGGAATAGTGCCTTTTTCGCCTAAAAGTTTATCGGTTTTTAGATATGTATAACAACTGTAGTGGGCTCACCTGCAAACAGGCGTCGGGCAACAATCGCGAATGCGGCGCACTTGTGACAATAAGCAAAGGTCATTATAGTGTTACGACCATACGACGTACGGGAATGAGTTATCAGCTGTCTAATCGTAGACAACACAATGTCGAGCCTTAAACTGTAAGCCCGTATTGGTATTGTTTCTTTTATTTGGCTGTCGAACATTATTTATGGTTTGAAATATGATTTTATGTAAAATAATTGATATGAAAAAGCCGTCTTATAAGTTATGACCCCATTTCACCACACGTAAGTGGCAGAAATGACAATGATCAGCTGACGCATTTTTCTTGGCCGAAGTCAGAGCGCGCGGCCCGACGCACCACGCGTATTTGGAAATTCCGACCTCGACGAGCATCAGAAGCCAACTAACAGGCGTGTTCGAAACCGCAGGAGCTGATGATGAACGGGTTTATCGAAACTTGATTGGATGAGCATATCGGTAATAGCGATTTCAGTGTGTGCATTTATTGTTCATAGTGGTGTGAAATGTGGTTGGGGTACGACCGACAACCCGTCGGGGCGAATTTCGCACTGGGGTACTCAAAATTTGAAGAATTTAAGACGTTTCCATGAGTTTTGAAGGTATGGATAAGTTCTAAAAATCCGGTTCTCCTTATCTGGGCCATTAACTCCATACGGTCCAGGAAAGCTGGCACACTACCTTTAACCGACTGCGCCACCAGGGCCTTTAAATTAAGTACATGTTTTTAGTAGTTCGTGATGAGAGCTTTCGATTGGCGTTTGAATTTTCCAAATCGGACCATTAGTTCGGGAGATAACAGGGGGGGGGGGTAAAATTTACCCCCCCCAGCCCCGCGCGTTCGGCTGGAGACCCCAGCCCCGCGCGGGTTAAGATACACGCATAAGCCGATGCGCTCACTCGTTCGTCAATTATCATTGCCGCTCTAGTTATCTTTCTCTCTCTCTCTCTCTCTCTCTCTCTCTCTCTCTCTCTCTCTCTCTCTCTCTCTCTCTCTCTCTCTCTCTCTCTCTCTCTCTCTCTCTCTCTCTCTCCTCTCGCTCTCGCTCTCGCTCTCGCTCTCGCTGTCGCTCTCGCTCTCGCTCTCGCTCTCGCTCTCGCTCTCGCTCTCGCTCTCGCTCTCGCTCTCGCTCTATCTCTCTCTCTCTCTCTCTCTCTCTCTCTCTCTCTCTCTCTCTCTCTCTCTCTCTCTCTCTCTCTCTCTCTCTCTCTCTCTCTCTCTCTCTCTCTCTCTCTCTCTCTCTCTCTCTCATGTGTAACACGCATGCCTCTCGACAGACGTGACGGTGCGACCGGCGAAGTTCGGCCGACTGCTGGAGAGCTGGCTGGACGCGGAGCTGCCCGACCTGTCCGTATCACGACCCGTCAGCCGTCTCGACTGGGGAGTGCCCGTCCCAGGTGGGTGCCATCCGGAAGCAGGTGCTGCTTTTTTCACTCCCTGATTCGCTGACTTTCCATTTTATTCCGCGAATATGCCGTCAGTTCGATTACCAATTATTTCCGGTGTAACTTGTTAGGTTCAGGCTGTGTTTCGGAAGACGTATTGTGGCCAATCTGGCGTTATTCTTTATTATAAAGTCGCACTCGACGTTAAGCTAACCTTTAGTTGTGCTGTTCGCACGCCCTATACGGCTTTCGTTATGTACTGCGGAACGCTTCTTGTTGTTGTTCCTGCAGCGCTAAGGTGGCATTGATGCGTGTAGTTGATGGTAAACGTATTTTTTACGATCGTAATGAATCGCCAGACCAGCGACCTCTGCCCGTATGTTTCAGGCAATGACCAGCAGCTGTTGTGCGTGTGTTTCAGGCGACGACCAGCAGGTGGTGTACGTGTGGCTGGACGCCCTCGTCAACTACCTGACCGTCAGCGGCTACCCGGACCAACAAGAACGGTGGCCTCCCGACTGCCAGCTCTTCGGAAAGGATATCCTCAAGTAGGTTCGGTGGGACACTGCAACACGTTTCGGCTTTTATCCTTTTATCACAGTAAAAGTTACCTAGCTTTTACCAAACTAACCGAATGCTATTCGATCGGTACCTTAGCTTGGTAACTAATGAGATGAGTATGATCTATTCAGCTTGATCGCTTGACTTTTCAACCTGTACCTTCCCCTTGGTGTAACACCTCTCCCTTCTCCGTGTGTGCAGGTTCCACGGCGTGTACTGGCCGGCGCTGCTGCTGGCCGCCGGACTGGAGCCGCCCAGACACCTGTTCTGCCACAGCCACTGGACTGTGGACGGCGCCAAAATGTCCAAATCGCTCGGTAACGTGGTGTCGGCACAGGAGGCGCTGGAGACGTACTCGGCCGACGGCGCGCGATACTTCCTGCTGCGGGAAGGCGTGCCGCACTCCGACGGCAGTGAGTGACAGTAACGCCCCGGGGATGAAGGAGAGGTGGCCCACCCCAATTGGTGGTGATGAGTAACTACCTGAGTGTCACACCAGAGTTGGGAAATGGCGCTGGAGAGGGAGTGTTATTTATTTTACTGTGAAATTTAAGGCATTTATATGTTTTTTTTTTAATAAATTAAGTCCGAACCTTTTGAATGGAAGGATTCACAAGGACAGAGCCCCGCTAAGCGAAGCTTGTTGCGTTGACCCTGTCCTCTACCTTCCGATCGCGCAATTCCGGTTCTATGACAGAATGTCCAAAGTTTAACGTGCTCACATAGCCGCGCACGGCCGGTCCCCTCACTGACTTTGCCTGGCTACGGCCTGCCACCAACCGCAACCATACCTGTCTGGAGGCCATAAACGTCAAGCGCCCGTCGCGCTTCGAACCCGGACTGTTGTAACCGGGAACGCGTGCTCTCACCACGCGGAGTCCAACGCTCTTGCGACTGAGCTACGGGACCGGCTAAATGCTTATATTCATACGGAAATTCAGTATATGATTAGATGAACAGTTTGACGATAAAGACATATTCTGAGTGGCGTACGTGGCTCTTGCTGGCGTCCAGCAGTGCACATCGCGTTATGTCGCCGAGTGGTGACCGAGCTCCTCTGACCACCTCCGCTGTTGTCCTGCAGACTTCAGCCGTCGGAAGGCAGCCCTCCTGCTGAACGCCGAGCTGGCCGACACACTGGGTAACCTGCTGGGCCGCTGCTCGGGCGCCACCGTCAACCCTGAGCAGCGGCGCCGGCCGGCGGCGGCAGTAGGTCCCGGGGCGGAGGGACAGGACCTGCTGGAGGAGGCCGCCCGACTGCCGGCCGCCGTGGCAGCAGAGTACGACGAGCTCTGCTTCTACCGGGGGCTGGAGGAGATCCAGGCGGTGCTGCGCAGCACCAACCAGGTGGGTAGGGACGCCGGGGGGTGACGCGCTGAAACAGTTATACGGTGTTTTTTTTTCTACGCACCGTTTACATCGCCTGGCTTATTCTCACAGCATATCTTAGCCAGTAGCCACGATATCTGCATGTCTGCTCTGCATATCCAAATATCATTACGAATGTGAATTTCAAGCGCGGGACACGAATTTTCAAAACATCGAATTTCTCCGACTCAGATGACTGGTGTCTGTATCATCGGCCCAAGAATGTCACCACGAGTGACCGAAGCGCACCTCCCATTGCCATCCTATCTTGTACCAAAAGATATAACATCGATGCTGTTGCTAACGATGTACTTACGCGCTAGTAGTTGTGCTGGCAATTACGTTCCCGACGTCGCAGTTGTGCAGCAACAACAGCCGTGGGTGCTGCGTTCCAGGATGTACTGTGTGCTGACAGTCTATCTCTCCTCTCCAATTAGACTGCTGTGTTGCTGACGCCTGACACTGACTCACTGATTGTCTCTCCCCACCAAAGTAATGTGCAGCAGCAGCAGCAGCAGCAGCCGTGGGTGCTGTACTGTGTGCTAACACTGCCCCCCCTGCTCTCCCACAGTTTGTGCAGCAGCAGCAGCCATGGATGCTGCGCCACAGGATGTACTGTGTGCTGACACTATTCCCCTTCCTCCCGCAGTTTGTGCAGCAGCTCTGCAGTCGTGGGTGCTGTACCGTGTGCTGACAGTGTCCTCTCCGCCACAGTTTGTGTTGCTATGTTCTGTGCTGACATTGTCCCTGTTCCACCGCAGTTTGTGCAGCAGCAGGAGCCGTGGGTGCTGCGCCGCCAGCCGGAGAGCCGCGACCAGCTGCACGCCTGTCTGGCGGTGTCCATGGAGGTGCTGCGGGTGGCCGGCATCCTGCTGCAGCCGGTGGTGCCCGCGCTGGCCGGCCGGCTGCTCGGTGAGCCAATAGCCATCTCCCGGAACTGGTGTCAGCGCAGAATATTTCTAAAAGCTCAGCGCAGCTGCAGCCGCAATATGGCTTTAGTTTATGATTTTTTTTTTTACATGAGATTAGTTCAACGTAATGATACACCAGCTGATAGCTGATATTTTGTTACATCATAGACCTCTACATACCTATGGTATGTAGAGGTCTATGATGAAAGTTGTGGATCTTCTTGGCTAACGTGCTTAGTTCTTTCTTTTGTTTTATGACGAGTTGAATTTTGACTCAGCTTTGGAGTACTCTAATTTTCGGTTTGATAACGCGTCCACTACGTGGTCATATAAATCTAGCACGACACTGCTTTTGAACTCCCCGATCCATAGAGACTGGTAAACTGACACTGATCTCTCTGTCGTCAGATAAGCTGGGCGTCTTGCCGGACGAGCGGAGTTGGCAGCACGCCGAGCGGCTGGCAGACGAGGACCGACCCCTGGGCACCGGCTCGGCCGTCCTCTTCAAGAAGCTGCGGTAACAGCGCCGGAGCCCCGAACGTAGGCCACTTTTTATAGTATATTGTGTCAATATATCTGCTTAAATATATCAGCTGTATTCATCAAAATCACATAGCAAAATGCTACAGTGGCGAGCGTCTCATCAGGCGGCTACACACGTAGAAAATTATGTTTATGCCGCACCGCCGAGCTCCGAAGCTATGTACACTGGAGAGAGCACGAGAGCGAGAGCGCGGAGAGAGCGGCCGGCGCTCTGCTGAGCGTCACGCTGCCAGCGGAATGCGTGTTCAGGCGGGCGAGGAGCAGCGTGGGCTGGCCACAGGGCAGTATCACAGCTAGTCGGCGCGCTGGGTGCCACGCGGCGCGGGCCGCCGCGCCCGCAGTGGCAGTGGTGTAGCAGTCAGGTTGACGCGCGCGGGCCGGTGGCCACCAGACAGACCGCGTGCGCAGGCGATGCACAGAAACGCACGCGCGAGCACGCGCACACGGGCGCGCAGTGTTGGGCTGCTATTCTGCTAGACGAGGCGATGCATTGGCGACGGCTGACGCCCGCATAGGCGGGCTCTTTGGTTGACAGCGCGCGGGGAGCGTGCAGTTCGCCCCGTCCACGGCGCGGAGGGTAACGAGGGAAGAAAGGAGAGGAGACGGAGGGTAGACGTGAGGTCGTGAACGTGAGGAGCAGGGGGAGTGGAAGAGTAGAAAACGTAGGGCACGAGAAAAAGAGAATGCTTATCAAAAAGTGGGGAGTAAGCTCAAATCAAGAGGACGATTGAAGAAGGGTCTTGCATTGTTTCGAGTTCGGGGTTATTCTATTCTAGCGGCGCTGCAGCTGCGGGCGGCGGAAGCTGGCCGGCTGAAGCGACATCTCGTGACTGGGGCGCGGGTTTTCGGCGGCCGGCGCGCTCCCGCCACCGCCCGGCGCGCTTTGTACACGTGTGGCGGCGCGCCGGAGATCAGTGCCGCCCGCCGCGGCACACATCACACCGCGCCGCGGACCAGTACAAACGCTAGCCTAGAAAGTCAGCCCTGAATGTCGTCAGTGTGTGAGTGCGCGCGCGCGCCGCGGCCGCGGTCTGCCGTCACACCCAGACGGGAGGCGGCGCGCCCCGCCACCGGGCGTCCGGTCACACGCTGTGTGCCGCCTCGGCCGGCTGCTGGCGCCGCTTTCCGCTGAAACACAGACAGCCGGAGATGGTGCGCGTCCGCTTGAACGGTTTGATGGGGTTCTCCTCGCGCTGCCGTTCCCGAACCATGCGCTCGTAGCAGTCGTAGTCCTTCAGGTACCTGGCGGAGGGTGAACAGTGTCAGAGCTGAATAGCTGTGGGACAGCTGTTCGACCTATGATCGTTCGGCGTCGCCGCAACATCACCCGTGGGTGAATTCGATTGATGACAAAAGGTGACGAATATGATTCTTGATTCAGGACTCGTAGAGATTCACAATTTGATGTTAGCAGTAATTCTGACAACTGTCATGAAAAGGACGGCTCTAGGCGAAGATCGACTCCCCTGAACGGACTGTAAACTAACTGCGGGCGGCGGAAGCTGGCCGCGGAAGCGACATCTCTTGGCCCTGGAGCGGGTTTTAGGGTTTTCGTTTTTTTATTCTAACTAAGAACTATTAGCTTGATTCAAGAACAAGATCACCGGTTCCGTTTAAGCCCGACTACCAACTCCCTAGCGCTATTTCCACCGGTCTAACCACCTCCCGGGGTGTCCGGCGGTAACCCATCGGTCCTTCGAAGGCGCTCAGCTCACCATGTGGGCGGCCATCGGTGTTTGTTGAGATAGGCCTGGTTCTCAGGGTGCAGCGCGCGCACCTGCTTGGGGTACCGCTTGCACATGGTGTCGTAGTTGGTGGCCAGGTAGTGGAGACACCAGTCGGCCAGCTGGTCGGCGTTGTGCAGCTGTGGGCAAATCGAGATCGAGACTAGCACAGTGGCAGACTGACAGTCGTTTAGGCGGTTCAACATCAGGATTTGGTTTGAAGGCGGCGCTGAATGCTACTCAGCGGTGTCCAGCATACAAAACATCCAACGCCCGAAATCCAGCCTGACTGACCACTTCGACGCAATTCTTCACAGCATCTTCCCTCCTTCCGTCCGCACATCCCCTGGCCTCATCGTGTCTAGATCCTGCCTGTACGGGCTCCTAACAGTCCTACCCTGTCCCATTCCCACCCGTCCGGGCTCCAGCAGTGACAGCACCAGCTTGAGGTAGTCCTGTCCGTCCACCCTTGTCCTGTCACTTGCCCTGTACTGTGCCCAGCCCTGTCCCCTGCCCTGCCATGTCCCTTACCTGTCCGGGTTCCAGCAGTGACAGCACCAGCTCCACACAGTCCTGTCCGTCGGCGGCGGCGTCCTGAAGCTGCTCGGCTGTAGCCCGCTCCACCAGAGAGAGCAGTCGCTGCAGACACAGCCGGTTACCCAGCTGCAGTAGCGGCAGGCAGTCCTGTGGTCGGATCGCCGGCACGGTGTCCGAGTACATAAAGTGCAGCAACACCCGGAACGTCGACTCGGTGACGTCTCGCAGTGACACCTGGCGGAGACACGGAGAACGACAGGTTAGGGCGACACATCAACGGCAAAGCCAACCAAGTCAGCGGCCTTCGAGCGACGCCTGACCGACGCCTGACAGAGTGGAGATAAAGCTTATAGCGCCAAAGACTGATGACATGGTGGCAGGTCAGAGGTCAATCAGCCGTGTCGGATCGTGGTATATGTTAGCCAGGGCCCTGCCAAGGAGAGATAAAGCGGAGGAGCTTCACGGTCGCTGTACTCAAGGCCTAGCAGCGTTTGCTGTTAGGACATCCCCACACCCTCACTCACCATTTTGGCCTTGCTCTCGCGGAAGTTTCCGGCGAACATGACTTCCATGACGTCGGAGCGTGCCATGAGTAGTGGCCGGTGGGCGGCCGCCGTGCCGTCGTCCAGCTGGAACAGCACGTCCGAGAACAGGCCCTCCTCCAGACACACCTCCAGCAGGCGCGTCTTCAGACTCTGCAGGGGGAGGGTATGGACGGTCAGCGGCGCCTGGAGAAAACGTGGCGGCACTGTAACACAAGGACAGGCCCTCCTCCAGACACACCTCCAGCAGGCGCGTCTTCAGACTCTGCAGAACGGGGGGACGCAATACACGGTCAGCGGCGAGCCGAGAGAATGGAATAGTGCAGTCAATCCACAATGCTTGTCAAAAGACACCGTCAATCAACTCTCCAATCGGATAGCAGGCAAACATATTTGGTAGAAGAATTAGCCGCCACGAGTTAACCACAAGATGACAAGGCTAAGCCCGGGAATTGAGGACGATAGGTATCACCGCGCGTTACCTGAATGTAGTTGGCGGTGATCTCCTTGTTTCTGTACTCCTCCTTCCGAACGATGTTGGTCAGATAGGCCTGGAACTGCGGGAAGCCCAGGTACTCGGATGCCTCCAGGAGTTCCTGCGGGACGGTACAGACTGGTCAGCGGCAACTCAAAGTACCTACAATCCTACTTCAGTGACAGTGATACAGCAGCAGAATGTCCAAGACACATGCTAGGCTTCAGGCGGATGTCGCGATATTACATATTTGATGTAAGCGTGCGCCAGCGGCCCGTTTCAGTAAATCAATGTTGGTATCAAATGAGAGGGGGTGGAACCACAGACATGCTAGTCGTTTAGAATAACAGGCGACCTGATTGGTCGATCCTAAAACTCTTCCGTTCGAATTGAGATGATTTCGTTTGAGGATTCCCGGACATACTGACCCGGACGTTGCAGTTTGCGTTGTCCTCCAGCCGTCCCGTGTAGAGGAAGTGCAGCGCCTGCCGCAGCACCGCCGGACTGACCAGCTTACTGACGCTGATTATCGTCTGCACAGAGAGACTCGGCTGGCCGCTCTGGTCCAGGCCCTCGCACTGCGGGTCAGGTCAGAGGAGCCCTTACAACGGGACAGTGCCGGGTCAGAGCAGGAAATAGACTATGGCGGTATGAAGTCGTAATAGACCTTGAAGCAGAAAGATGGTCGCGCCATATCGCAGAGGACATTGCTGCGTGCGAGACGTGGCCCATCTCAAACTCACGTATACTACAGGGTGTCCCAATAAAATGTACCTCATTTGAAATGACGATATCTCAGTGTCTGAGCATACAATGATCCTAAATTTGGTGCCATATGAAAGCTCATTCCATAGCATTTTGTTTGATATTAACTATTTTACTGTACGTTACGTGACAGCCGAGTGATAACGGAAGAGCAAAACCCTTGCAATTTCGCTCTTCAACTTTTTCCACCGGTGTTTCTGGGAAAAAGCTTTCAATTGTTTTCCCGATATTTTCAGCAGCTCAGAAGTGAACAATTAGAAATATTGAAACTAGGTTTCATTCATGCATTGCTAACATAACAAACACACATCGCATCACATCGCAGTTAAAGGTTCAGCCGTGCTAACGCTCGAAGCGCCCTCCCTTTTGCTCGGCACACATGGCTTTAGGACTCTTCGGCTACGCGGGCACATGTTTCAAGCGAGATTTTCCGGATGCATGTCCTGGTCGAGTTCCTCAGCTGGTCCAGAGTTTGAGGATTCTTTGCGTATACCACACTCTTGAGGAACCCCTACAGATAAAAGTCAAGAGGCGATAGGTCTGGGGAGTGTGGCGGCCAGCTAACTTTGACACGCTGGGATATGGTCCGATCACCCATGCGCTCGTTGAGCCAGACCATCGTTGATCTCGGAAGTGTGTGGGCCCCGTCCTGCTGTAGCCATTGGAGGCTGATGGTGTTCACACACTTTTTGCACACTTGTGGGAGGAGCTTTTTTGTTTGTTTGTTTTGAAGTGGGCCTTTAATTTCCGCTGTGTTTGCACCACAGATCCGGTTTGGGGGTAGGATTGTGCGATGTGCAACTTGAATCCTTTCCTCCTTGCTCAGTTGCCCCATTGTGCAAAATGAAAGATGTGGAGTATTATTGCCATGAAATTAGCTTTAATAAAATATATGATAGCTATCATCACGTGCGTATTTTCTGAGATGTCTTCAGTTGACATGAGACACAATTTTGAAAGACTTGTGGCAGTAATTCAAGTGCGAAATTGCAAGGGTTTTGCTCTTTCGTTATCACTCGGCTGTCACGTAACGTACAGTAAAATAGTTTATATCAAACGAAATGCTATGGAATGAGCTTTCATATGGTACCAAATTTAGGATCATTGTTTGCTCAGACACTGAGATATCTTAATTTCAAATGAGGTACATTTTTTGGGGACACCCTGACGTATGTATAACACGTAAATAGAGTGCATAGTGGTTTATTACGTTCCCACACTGATTAGACACATCGAAGACTCGGTGACCTCACTGGACTTTCTTAGAGATAGTGTGCTGAGAGCACCTTCCATATTCTCCAGCCCCTCACCTGCTGTATGCTGATGGACTGGAAGGCCGGGTGGTTGAGCTGCCGCGACTGGCCCACCTGGTTGAGGGTGGGGGGCCGCCAGCCGCCCCGTACCGGGTCCAGCGGACCGTCCACTTCCCGCGTCCGGCCTCTGCCGGGGTATTGAGCGTCAGCGGGGGACGACGGGTACAACTGCAACAGTGAGCTTATTCCTGAAAATTGTATAGTTCACTTCACAATATTTTGCGCCATATAATTGAGTGGGCTAGTGAATGAGTGAATGAAGAAGCGAGAGAGAACGAAAGACAGCGACAGTGAGAGCGAAAGGTGATAGCGAGAGCGTTCCACGCAGTTTAGATTAAAGAGCGAAGACGATAGTGATAGAGGGAGAGATCGATGCAGGGGACTGGGAGCGAGAGAGAAGAGAAGGGGAGGGACGGGGACTCACGTGATGAGTTTGAGGGCGCAGCTGGATAGCAGACACTCGGTGTCGGCCTCAGAGCCCACCTCGTCCATCCCGGCCGCCTGCGTGACACATCGAAAAACGGAGTTCACATGGTGGCGTATATCAGGGCTAGTCTGGATAGGAGGCACATTCATGGAGCATTATGACGCCAGACGCACGTAAACATGCACGCAAATGGATTTCCTCGTGGTGCCTCGTGGACAGTGAAATGTCAAAATGAGTTTTAATGTTTTTGACGTCTCCGCCTGATCATATAATGTCGCACGGTCGGTCTCACCAGGCTGTCGTTGGAGGAACAGTGTGATTAGTGATAGTCTCATAGTCTCACTAGGCTGTCGTTGGAGGAGCAGTGTGATTAGTGATAGTCTCATAGTCTCACCAGGCTGTCGTTGGAGGAGCAGTGTGATTAGTGATAGTCTCATAGTCTCACCAGGCTGTCGTTGGAGGAGCAGTGTGATTAGTGATAGTCTCATAGTCTCACCAGGCTGTCGTTGGAGGAGCAGTGTGATTAGTGATAGTCTCATAGTCTCACCAGGCTGTCGTTGGAGGAGCAGTGTGATTAGTGATAGTCTCATAGTCTCACCAGGCTGTCGTTGGAGGAGCAGTGTGATTAGTGATAGTCTCATAGTCTCACCAGGCTGTCGTTGGAGGAGCAGTGTGATTAGTGATAGTCTCATAGTCTCACCAGGCTGTCGTTGGAGGAGCAGTGTGATTAGTGATAGTCTCATAGTCTCTCTCACCAGGCTGTCGTTGGAGGAGCAGTGTGATTAGTGATAGTCTCATAGTCTCACCAGGCTGTCGTTGGAGGAGCAGTGTGATTAGTGATAGTCTCATAGTCTCACCAGGCTGTCGTTGGAGGAGCAGTGTCCGCACGAGTCGTCCACGATCGGCATGGTGAGCAGCTGAAACAGCAGGTCCGAGGCGCTCGCCAGCACCGCCTTGTGCGCCGAGAACCTGACAGAGGACGAGGAACGTCAGAGAGCCGCCTCAGTGACCTGTCGCCAGACTCCAGGAAGAGACTTTCAGCGACGTATAATGTCAGAGAGACACATCGAGATAGAAGAGTACCGCCAGCAAGATACTTTCAGTGTCATACACCGTCTCGAAGATACCAGTCAGCGACAAACCGTGAGCAATATTTTATAGCGGCGACATATCACACGCAAACAGTTTGTTGTAACCGGCGAAACAATCACCGACATACCGTCAACGAGAAAGTCATTGGTATAGTGACATGGAGATTATCGTAAGAGAGACCGTACTCTACTGGAACGAGTTCATGATTACCAAGAGCAACAGAAGCCGAGTCGGTATCTGTCCGATAACGATCATAACATTCATTTTGCGCCCGTCGGGCACTCACCCCACGCTACCGACGAGGAAGATGATGTCCGTGTGCCACTGGTTGGCCAGCAGCGAGGCCATGCTCTCCTCGAACGTCGACGGCGTCACGAAAATGTCCGGCGGCGTCGGCTTCGGTGGACAGAATGGTGCCTGCAAACGCGAGGAACGCGTGAACGAATTGTGGAACAGGTGTGATTCAGGGCTGTGCATACCTACGTCTTCTGGTAGGGTTTATGGCATCAAGAAACTTCAGTTAAATATTATCGGTCCAACCTCAGTCGTAAGTGTTCTATGAAGAGTCAGCGGCCTTTTATTTCATTCAAAATCGTTGCGCTGGTCATTAAATCCGCTATGCGTCAATGCATTGGTCCAGCCATCAATTATGTTCAATTTGTCCTCTTCGACCAAGCACAGTATAAAATGCACTGACATAATATCTTTCCATCTTTAAATGAGGGTCACACGGTACATGAGCTGGGAGAACCCAGTAGGACAGGAATAATGCATTAGGTGATTGGGCCGCGGGACTTACACCCCATGAGAACACGGTACACCGTGGGGCTAAGACGTTCGCTGACGCGAGACGGGTACGTCCCAAAAGCTCTCCGGGGATATATTCGCTCAGTGGTAGTGCATTTCTTAGTAGTCGGGAGACGTTAAATTGCCTTAGTTGATAACCCAAGAATGTATCTTTAGATTGTAAAATTTGGTGTTCAAGACATGGAAAATTCTAAGTTATCCGTACCTACCTGTTGAAAGACTCGTCATGTGAAAAAATATATGGATACGAAAAGGTTTATTCACTTATGGCCCCTTTATTTTTATCTCGAAGGCATTTGCATGAACTGGTTTATCTAGGTTAGGATGTTACGATGACACTTGTTTATGCCACTGAAGCAGGATGGTTTCAGTGTTATGACGTTTTTCGACTTCAAAACGTTCCGGATGCCCCTCGAACTACCAACAAAACACGGCCGATTTTCAAACAGTGGAATCGGACTTCGAGTTCAGATTATCGTTGTCGTCTATGTATGCCTTGGAGATAACGATAAGTTGGTCGGGTCCGCTGTCCCCAGAGACCAGTCAGCTCGGTCTAGTCTGCTTTCAGTGACAGCCAGTCCAGTCCAGTGTAATCAGCCCGGTCCAGTCCGTCGTCAATGGCAGTCAATCCAGATCAGTCGGCTCCAGCCACCGTCAGTCTGATTCAGTCCGCCTTTAGGGCAGTCAGTCCCGTCTAGACCAATTCTCCGTCATAGTCCGCATCATCGCCAATAATAGCAGTCGACATCGGGTCATCGACCTGCACGGTCCCCGCCGGAGTGGGGCGGTGAGGACGCCGTGCACCGATATATGGGGTCGACGGGGCGGGCACCACGCCATGACCCGGTCAGGCTACAGACAGCCACGACTTCCGATTTATTGGAGACGTCACCATAGCGTCACCATATTAGCAGCACTCCAGCTGTGTCCGGTCTGCCGCCGCGAGATATGGCTCTATCCCGGGCTCATCCCAGGCCCGACTCCACTGACGGATTACCCGTCGCGCGCCTCAGTGAGGCCGCCTCCGGGTCACCGCTGCAGTGTTTACAGTCCGGTGGACCGGCCCCCGACTCACACCGGCACAAGGCACGAGTGGCCACCGTCCACCACCCCTCCCCCCAACACAACGGCGCAAATGGAGGAAACGACCAGAGGTCGGCGGCGCGTACGACGTACCGCGATATCGCCTTGTGCCAACTGCGCGGTTATGCATTCCATCGGGGGCACCGCGCCGGCTTTGGAGCGACCCCACCGACCGTCGGCTGTATGCAATTAACTCAGCCCGATCGGTACGGTGACTGGGGCCGGGGGTCGGGGGGTGAGTATAGGTCGCTGGGAGCGCAAGGACCGAGGATCGTGGGGACTCTACGGAATGGCCGACTGCATATGGGATTCGTGATGAGGTTAGGTTCCATGAGAATTAGATTTTCGTGCAGGTAGCCTAATCGCACAGAACCACATTACGCGTGAGTACCTACTAATCGAGAATGCTTTCCCAGTTGACCGCCGAAGTCGATTGAACATTGATTACCATGAACGATCACTTACGGTCAGCCAAATACCTATTGCTGCGTGACCTGACGGAACTACGCTCGAATATTGACGAGACCGAGTACCGACATGACATGTCTGTGAATACGGATGCACGTATCGTATTGCGTACCTATTGCTCAAAACTCGCTCGTACTCCAAATAATGCGCAATAATACACGCTTACGGAGAAAGAGGAACAAAAGATTTGTCATAGACTGTTCGGCTGTAAAGGAAGCGATGCAAGTTACAACGCAAAAACAGTGTGGCTTATGCATTATTCATAAGTTGTTGACACTTACACGGCCGCAATTCATTCAGAGCGGGCCAGATGGATCGAGACGTGTAAATATACCTAAGCGAGACGGTGGTCTCAAAATGTACGAATGAACTTAGCCGGACATGGCTCATCATCTGGGACTAGTTCAACTAAAACACAAAGTGCATCACAAAAGGTCACCTGTACACTATTCAACACTGCTATTCGGTGTTTGTCTTTCTGCCACCATGACACTAACCCGAAAAACAAACATGAAAAGGCAAGGGGAAAGACGGAAGTCTGGTCGCCGGACTGATAAGCCATCTGCCATATCCTCGTTCACAGTGCCAGTCCCAGCCCCTACCTTTGAAACACGACCGTCACCGTCCTCCCGGAAGCACCCACCTGCAGCATGGGCCGGTTGACCCGTTTCAGGTTGGTCATCCAGAACTTCTTTCGGCGTGCGATGAGCGCCGCTCGGATGGCGTTCTCGAACATCTGGTCGACGCCATAGTAGGTGAGCACCGAGGTCTCGAAGTAGTCCACGCCCAGCTCACGGGCCACGGCGCGGCCATGCTCCGGCAGCACCAGGTCACTCTCCCGGGTCGCCCTGACGTAAAGGACGGTTCACCAGGTCACTATCGGATCACCCTGACAGAGCAGGTCACCAGGTCACTCTCCCGGGTCGCCCTAACGTAAAGGACGGGTCACTAGGTCACTATCACGTAACCTGCCGTGACGCAGAGAGCAGGCTATCAGGTCACTCTCCTAGGTCGCCCTGACGTAAGGGAGAGGTCGTCAGGTCACTCTCCTGAGTCGTCCTGGCAGAACAGGTCACCAGGTCACTCTCCCGGGTCGCCCTGACGTAAAGGAGAGGTCACCAGGTCACTCCCCCGGGTCACTCTGACGTAGAGAGAGGTCACCAGGTCACTACTAGTTCACCCAGGTCACCAGGTCACTCTCCCGGGGTCGCCCTGCAGCGCAGAGGTCAGGTCATTAGGTCCTACCTGGCTATCCTAGTCATAAGGTACTTCTCTCGAGTCTCCCTGGTGTAAAGGAGAGGTCAGCAGGCCATTCTTTCGGGTCGCCCTGGTGCAGAGGTCAGGTCATCAGGTCACTATGCCTGGCTATCCTTTCTCTCGAGTCGCCCTGGTGTAAAGGAGAGGTCAGCAGGTCTTTCTTTCGGGTCTCCCTGGCGCAGAGGTCAGGTCATCAAGTCACTACCGGGTCGTCCTGGCAGGACAGGTCATCAGGTCGCTACCGGGCCGCCCCAGTGAAGAGGGCAGGTCACCAGGTCACTCCTAGGTCACCCTGGTCACCAGGTCGCTCTCTCGGGTCGCTCTGCAGCGCAGGTCGTCAAACACTATCGGGCGCCCTGGCGCAGATGACTTAATCGCAGTGTTTCGTGATAGCTGACATAGCACACATAAGCGGACATGACATATATTCGACATAAGCCACTGTATTACCAGCTCACATCACCCTCATTAACAACCAAGGCATTCAAAGCCCGTTCTTTTGTCCCACACGGGCTAAAGCGCATGCCACCAGCCACTGGCCACACGCAAAAGTGCGGATTCCACGCCCATAAATGCGCCAACTCGCCACACACAATCAAGAGGAGGAGACACATGATACAAAAAGGTCGCCAATGCTCCAGCAACCCCGGCACCCAAGCCGTGTATGGTCCCGCACGCCTCAAGAGCACCTCGTTCGTGACACGGCACATGCGGGTGTGACCGCGGGCTCGGTCACGAGAGTGAATGCAGCGGCACGCGCACACGTGGGTGGTATTAGCCTATCGTGATTCCTTCGAGATACTGGACCCTTACTCGACTCTCGAATGTTTTCGATTCTCGGCTCACGAATAAGAGTCGTCGGAGGTGCCCGAACGTCAGTAGATAAATATCCCATGCATAGCACGTCTAGGACGTTTATGTCGCATTCTACCTTATATTGACTGTAAATGCCCGTTACGTGTGCCCTAATTTATGCATCGTCTAGATCCTGATCCAATGCCAAACCGAATCGAAAGCAGAATATCTCATTCATAGACCGATTGCATTCTCTTGGTTGAAGTAACCCCCACTGTTGCGCAATTTAATCCATTGTTCGATAGGATGTAATGTTTATCATATAAACAATAAAGCGGCTACCGTGGCGAGCAATCTCAATAACAGCTGTTTAATGCCGGGCAAGAGATCGCGGGAATGGTAGATTGTCGGAATATTCATATACCAGCAGGTCACGGCAGTCATGCTTATTTATGACAAACACAAACACATGTAGAGAACACACCATGCGAAGCATACACAAATATGATAGGGAAAAGGGCAATGTGTACATACACAAAAGCAAACAAACGACAACAGCAGTACACTTTCGAAGACCTCAGAGCATGAGAACGATAGGCACCGCGGAGCGCAAGCAAACAAACTGCTCGTGCATGTAGACGGTGCCAGCAGAAAGCTGCCCCATGTGGTCAGCCGAGCGCCCGAGGAACAGTGATGGAAAGATAGAGCAGACGGGAGAAAATGTGGTTAACAGACAGGCCGGGAGGCAGACGGACAGACAGGTAGAAAAACAAACGGACAGATAGACAGATAGACAGGCAGACGGACAGACAGACAAAGGATGCAATGGAGGAGCGGACCGTATGTCGATGTACTCACAAGTGCCGGCTGTGTCAGCGGTAATCGATCCAGCATCACAGCGTGGGTAGATAAATGAGGAACAGAGAGCCAGAGTTAGACGCGGGTCCCGGGTCTCACTCCGTCCCACACCATTCACAGTTTCGGTACCCTATTATAGCGAACAAATATAGAAGTTCCGTCCTACACCACCGGGACACGTGGAGGAGAGGAGGGCTGAATCGGGTAATTATAACTAAATCGAACGGTGTTATCACCAGCCGACGCGAGATCTCCAATACCGAGGGGATGAACAGTCAGCACCCCAATCAAAGGCGTAATTATCTACGGTATTAGTCACTATAGGGGCGTTACGGAAAGGGAGACGCTCCGTACAAAGTCTCCTTTTGGGACGTTACGGGTCAGGGTCGGTACACTACGATCTAGTTACGGATGTTACGGGTCAGAGTCGTGCACTACAATATTACGGGCCGGGTTGTTACGGATGACGCGTGGTAAATTCTCACCTGACGAACGGGCTGCGGTCTTTGCAGTAGTTGATGTACGTCTCATCCTGACACATATACCTGCCGACAGGGACATGAGATGAGAGAGATGAGAGAGATGATTTATTTGAGCATCCATATTTACACTTGTCGAAACATTACGATTGGCGTAGAAGCGCTATGGCGCTTAAAACGAGACGCCGCTCGAAACACGTAGAAAGCAGACAATAACACTTCTAATCGAACACTACTAATCACTACTGATCTTAATCAAAATGTCAATATTAACATAGCGAAGTCGACCCTGCCTTGGCCGAAGCGCCTGTCCCCGCCCCTACTCGCGCCATTGCTCTGTATTCCGAAATGGAAGTGCTGCTCCTAGTTCTAGCAGGCAAATCTCCGCGTTTTGAGTATATAGCTCTGGACGGCCATGGCGGTGTCATGGCGGGTAACCTTTATAACTCGCGAAGGCCCATTTAGCAGTGTTTCTATTTTCTTTTTCCGAGGAATGTTTTGAAAGTTCTCACTGAGAATTTCAGTTAACCTTTCGAACAATTCTTCTCGTTCTGTGCGAAAGAGTGGACAGATTAGGAGGAAATGCTCGTTGTTTTCTGTAGCAGCACCACAACTGCACTTGGCTGAATCACTTTTCCCTATTTTGAATCTGTGGTCTTTAAGATCTGATGAATTAAGCCTGAGTCGGGTGTGAAGCCGGTTTCCAATTTTGGAACCTGTGCTTAGGTAGGAGCTGGGTGACATGTTTATACCGGCATATGCATACAGCCTCTTTTTGAAGAATTTTTGGCTGTGTTCGGCTCGTAAGTCGTTGGGTAGTTCGTTCCAGATTCTTGTTGTTGTTGGGATGATAGATCTCGCGTAGGAAGCTGAGCGGACTGCTGGGATGGTGCGTTGAGTGGACTGTGTGCATCGCAGATTTCTCTCCATCTCTAGGTTTCTCGTTTTGGGTATGATGTCTTTTATGAAGTCCGGAACACGATCATCTAATGCTATCTTGTGATAGAGTTGCACTTTGTGGGCGCGACGTCTGTCTACTAGTGAGGTCCAGCCCAGCTCTTTCCGGAGGCCCGCTGTAGACGTCCTTCGAGGTGTGTCAGTGATAAGGCGTGCCGCCCTGTTCTGTGCTTTCTCTAGTCGGGACTTGTCAAATGCTGTCAGATGGCAATCAAATATTGAGTCGCAGTAGTCGAGATGGGGCTGGACATACATTTGATAGATTTGAAGTAAGATTTGTCGTGGAAGTAGAGATGCTATTGGGAAGAGAGGACTCATCGTGCGGTAAAATTTTGATAGGATGTTGTTGACGTGAGACTTGAATCTCAGATCAGTTGAGATTGTTACTCCAAGGTGTTTGTGGGAATCGCGAATGGGAATTGGTGAACCGCCAAATTCCAGGCACGGAATGTGTGTTTTTTTGTTACTAAGCGTTTGTTGGACTGTTTTTGTAGCATTAAATGTTATTATCCAGTCGTCTCCATAGCGTTTGATGCGATTTAAGTCGATTTGCAGTGATTTTTCAACTTCATGAAAATTATTAACATTGTGACTGGCATGTAAGGAGCTGTCATCCGCAAAAAATAGCATTTCATTGTTGGTAACGCTACTGAGCCCATTTAGATACATTATGGCCAGCAGTGGACCTAGGATGGATCCCTGTGGCACTCCTGCGGATAACTCACGCTGGGTGGACGTAGTTTGGCCTAGCTGGACTACTTGTCTCCTGTCACTTAGATAAGAGTTTAGCCAATCAAGTTGTGCACCTCTTATACCAAATTCTTTATCACATTTTGCTAGCAGCCCCTCATGCCAAATCTTTTCGAAATATCTTGATATATCCAGGTAAATGATTGTGTAATCCTCACCCGAGTCCATGGCTCTATATAACCTGTGAGTTAGATAAGCAAGCTGGAGCTCTGTGTTGTGACCAGGGCGATAACCACTTTGTTTTTGTGTTAAGAGCGAATGACTGTGAATGTGCTCATATATCTGAGTGAACATAAGTTTTTCGAATATTTTCGATAGACAAGGCAGTAAGCTTATTGGTCGATATGATGCAGCCTCAGATGGGGAGCCCTTCCCTTTAAAAATTGGTTTAACTGTGGCTTTCTTCCACTGAGTTGGGTACCTGCCTTTTTGGACTGATTTGTTTAAGATTCTGGATAGAGGCTCAGCAATGTAAGCCGCTGACATTTTGATTAGTTTCGCCGGTACGCCGTCGGAGCCGGTGGCTTTAGACGAATCCAGCCCATTGATGGTCTTCAAAACATCTCGAGGTGTAATGGGAGAAAACTGGAAGGTGTGCTGAGTGCTGTTATATGAAGATTTGTATTCGCGTACGAGCTGTAAGTGTTTATCTGTAATGTTTATTTCTGTCTGGGAACAAAAGTACGAATTGAGGGCCTCGGCCTTGCGGTGGTCGTCACTTACAAGATCATTTTCGACAATCAGAGGAGCCATAATGGAGTTTTGCTTGAACCCCGTAACGCTTTTCAGGATTTTGTGGTATTTGTAAGGGGTTTTCTTGCTAGTGACAAGTAGATGTACTTTGTGTTTAATGGTTTCATTTTTGAGTTTTCTATTAAGGCTGGTTACAAGGTTGCGCTGAGATCGCCAGATCGACCAATCTCTTTCTGAGTTGTGACGTTGAGCAAGCTTGAATAACCGGTCTCGTTTACGCATTTCGCGCCTCAGCTCTGCTGTTAGCCACGGTTTGTGATTGCGGATCTTTACGGTTTTCTTTGGTATGTGAGCTACTGCAGTATGCAAGATGGCTTCTGTTAACATTTCAATTGCATCATCGGTGTCGGCATTTGTTATGGCGCTCCAGTCTATGTTTCTCAGTGTATTAATGAAACCGTCAACGTTGGTATTTGAGTAGTCCCAGCGGGTTGTTGTTACATGTCGGTCAGCGTCGATTTTCTGAAGGGACAAAGAAATAAGTAGAGGGAAATGGTCGATGTTTGAGAAAGCCGGTAAAACTCCTGAAGATTTAATTAGTTCGGTTCGGTCTACAAATATCAAATCTCTTAAGTTGTGGGTGTCCCCTTGTACGCGGGTTGCTGTGTTAATAATTTGAGTTAAGTTTGACGCTTCAGTGATATTTTTCAGTTTGTTTTCGAAAGTGGTGATGGGGGAGTGGTTGGGTGAATTACTAGGCAGCCAGCAGTTTCCAGCATTAAAATCGCCAACGAGGACCAGAAGATCGGGACTATGCTGTTTAGCTTCAAGGACACAGTCAGACAAGTAATCTAGGAATTGAGATTGTCGGTCGCTAGTGGTGTTCGGTGGAAGATAAACTGAGCAGAGCAGCAGCGTCGTTTTATGGAATTTGATTTTCACCCATAGGGTTTCAAAGAGCTCACACTCAAGATGTGATATTTGCGAAAAAGGTAGTGTGTCTCTGACATATACTGCAACTCCTCCGCCCTTCCTTGTCCTGTTTTTTAGTAATGGCGCATGAAAACCTTTCAGAGAGTAAAGACTGGAATGTATAGTGGTGTCAAGTTTTGTTTCAGATAGTGCTAGTATGCTAATATCGTTAATGTCAACGTAGCTTTGAAGCTCCTGTAGCCTTTCGTTGGCAGTGATGGAGTTGATATTAATTGCGGAGATGTTAACACCATCGCTTCGGAGCGTACCAGTTACTGGTGGCATTGTGGGCACGGGGAAGGCGCTTCGACTGGCGGCGGGTGGCGAGAGAACAGTTTCCATAAAACAATGTGCAATGTGGGCTATGGCTTAACTTTTGGCAAGATGACACTGATTTTGAGAGATGGGCAAGTACATCCGCATACTTTCGTCTCTATGCGTCGAGAAAGCGGAGATGATAGACATTGATAGCTCCGAAACGTTAAAGCATATAAAAAAATGACATACGACGACTGGGCACAGCTATCGTTAACTCGTGCATCGTTGTCAGGTGGGAAATCATATCACACTGAGCACAAGACAATATATGATGGGCAATATGCAATATACACAAGGTCATGTAAGGTGATTTGGTTATGTTTAACACTGGACGCATGTACGGCCGGCGCTGTACGAACCGGCACCGGAAACCCAGCCCCAGCCGGGAGGGCGGGGGGGGGGGGGGTGCCGGCCCGTCTGGGAGATGGGGTGTCACTACTCACAGCGTAGACCCGGCTCGCCTAACGGTCACCGCTCGGGAATCGTTCCCTGTCGACACGCCCACTGTCAGAGACGGCGGGGCGAGCAGCTGATTGATGAGGTGTTGCCTGAGTCCGAGTATTTGCGCAGCTGCGCAGACCGTCCTTATAATGCCTTCGATGGTCGGCTGGTTAGCTCAGCGGCGGGGGCCGTCCCCTCAGTCGCCCCGAACGGCGGGGGACCTCCCGCGGCGGCGCTCGGTCACCCACGCGTTGATGGCGTCAGCGGCCTGCCAGGCGGGCCCCGACCCGCGGCGCGCCGAGCGGGCTGGCTCGGTCTCCCGTGGTCGGAGTTCCCGGAAAGCGTCGGCTCCCACGATATCTTCAAGGTCAGCTGGCTCTTTGATTGAGACTGCAATGTCTCCCTCTGTCTTCTTCACGCGCACACAGCCGTTGGTCGTGTAGGCGGCCCACAGAGACTTTCGTTTCCGGAGCTGCCTAGCCAAGAAGAATAGGTGCTGGTTCTTAGCTGTAAGGCACTCTGACACAAAGATGCGGCTAATTACTGACCGGGTCAGCACCGGATGGCCACCCACCTTTTCAGCCGTCAGCTCCTTTCGCTTATCGAATAGTTTTTGTCGAGCGTTTGTTGTGGCGAATTTGGCGATGATGGGCCGTACCTTGCCTGGCTGTGGACGTCCAAGGCGGTGGGACCGGTCCAGGTTGTCGGCCGTCAGATTGAGACCGGCAGCCCGGCCGACGTCCAGCACCAGGTTGTCTGTCGCCTCACCACTCGTCTCCGGCACCCCGGTGATCAGCAGGCTGGTGCGACGGTTGTACGCATCCAGATCTTCGATGCGCCGCTCAGCTTCCTCGAGCCTGTTTTTGGTGGAAGACAGCTCAGTCTCGAGCGACGCTATTCGGGCTTCAGCCGCTTCATTGACCCGGTTGATTGCTTGAGCAACGGCTTCCGTTACCAGGTCCTGGAGTCGTTGGACGAATTCAAATTCACTTAAGATTTTCTTGGCTTCTTCCTTAATATCGATTTCAGCCATGTCAGCCATATTATCTCACCACCCGCCGCCTGGCTCCCTTAGTTAGAACTAATCACTGGAAGGGTCGCGGCGCACTGGGTCCAGGCACGGAGGGGCAGGGGACACGTCCGTTCCGGCCGGCGGTCAGGGGACGACAGGTCACATTAGGTCACAAAAGGTCGGAGGTCAGGTCACAAACTATATATTTCGGCAGCTTAACTGTCAATTCTTCAGCAGAAAGCCCCAACCAGAACCAGTTACTGCCAGAATTTAGAACGGGAGCAATTTATACGGCGTGGCGCACAACAAGCAATATGTAGGTACGACAGCCTACATCCCATACTAAGCCTTCGTCACCCACTCTGCTCGGGGCTATAAGCCCTGGGCGGCACACGGGCGTACCTCAGGTCGTTTTTGCAGCCGACGAGCAGGACTGGTGTGTCGGGACAGAAGCGGCGGATCTCCGGGTACCAGATCTGGCGACAGTTGCGCAGGGACTTCTGGTTGCCCACCGAGAAACAGATGAGAACCACGTCCGACCTGAAAAACACAGGTTCAATTTTCACCCTTACCTGCTTACACGAGGTGCGTTGGTTGAGGTTCGGCGTGAAACGTTTGACAAAAGGTGACGTTAAATGCCTCGCTTATCCCGGACCGTGTCGATAAATGATGGAAGGCGTTTTATAGATCATAAGTGGCATTGATATGTTGCGGCGAAATAGCTTTAATAATTACTTAATAGATAACTATTTAGCACTTCTTCAATTAATGTTGGTCAGCACTCAATTGGCATCCTCATTCCCTGAGCCGGATGTAGCTATTTAAAATTCGTCCTTTGCTTCGCATCAAAAGTCTTTTCAGTAAATGCCTTATCGTATTAGGTAAAAATGTAAACCAGCAATCAATATGATGAAATGTCGTGTCGTTAACTAAAGGAGCTAGCAGTTGCGGTAAGACTCCTTTCTTTTGTCATGCTGACGTTAAAAAGAACAATCAAAATCAAAATCTGCGGGAAACAAATTAATGTAGGTAGGTTATTTGAAAGAAATGGCTAGTTGAAATGTGGCATAAGTCATTTTTCGGCGGTCTCACCCCAAAACTGTCGTTAATTGTTACCTCCCCTGTCTGTACAATACGACCACCTGCTACCAGGTTAAATATTTACACTCTAAAAGGGACACGACATGCACCTTCACTACTCATTTCTAAAGGGTTGGAGCAACATCTCGAGCTCGACCGTACTCGTATGTATCGGATGCTGTTAGCTTCCCGTTGTTTCGGGGCAGGGCTCGAGCGACTGACTGAAAGCTCACTTATTGCAGGTGAGATCGGACGGCGCTTGTGGCGGGGCACGTACTTGAGGTAGGCGTATTTCCGGTACTTGTCATGGTCTCCGAATGTGTCCCACAGTCTGAGAGAGACGTTGACGCCGTCCACCTGTGTCCAGGAGCGCTCCAACACCTGGCAGACAGCCGCACACAGAGGGTCAGGCGAAGGCGTTAGAGGCAAACAGTAACTGATTACCCAACCGGGCACGAAATTACAATCCTCCACAACAATTTTCCACAATCAGACCAGTCTCACTCACCATTCCAAAGCACCGTATAGATATTTATCGTTATTGAAACCGAAAAAGACCTTCCTCCAAACCAATTAAATGTCCTAGAATTGTCAGTCAAAAAAAAGCACGCATAAAAAGCTTCGATGAAGTTGTAATTCTCTTTAGAATAATTCGAATAAGACCTCACGGCTTATCGATGTGTATGGTCATTTTATAAAATAAATAAAAAATCGTTGCTCGTGAAATCACAGAGCTTTTAGATGATGACGGAAAATAGAACGGCGATAAATCATGAGCCATGCATTAGCTAGCATTAGCCGACCCAAGATTAATGACTGAATCCGCCATACTTCTGAGGCAATTTCGCTAATATAATAGTTAACAGCGCGTGGTCAAATGGGCTCATTAATTTTGGCACCTTAGGGAGCATTATACAAAAGAAATATATGAAATAGGACTTCTGGACTTCATCAGCCTGATCATTTCACGGAAAGGACACTGCAATTTATCGGAAATAACTAGTTCTGTTCTTGCAATCGGTAATTTTTGCGACACGAGCCTGATTGGATGTAGCTAACCCGGAAGCTCCCCGCTGGTGTACTAGTACCTGCCCCTCGCTATGTGACCTCACCTCCTTGTGGATGCGGTATGTGTCCACGGCCCAGACGGTGGGCACGTGCATGGTGACCAGCTCTGACAGCGACACCTGTTTGTTGTAGACGCGCGCGCAGATGAGCCGCGTCTTGCCGACGGCCGTGTCGCCCACCAGCACACACTTGACCGTCTCCTCGTGCGGTAGGTCATACTCCATCCTTCATGCCGCGCGGCGCCGCAGCCCGGCCGATACTGCGGCTGCCTGTCGGCCGATACTGCGGCTGCCTGTCGGCCGCTGCCACCGCCGCTGCCACCGCTCGAGCGCCTCTACCGGCAGTACCCCAGGCCGCTGCTGACGGCCGCTGCCGCTGCCTCTGTCTCCGCTCGAGTACCAATCACAGCCGCCCCCACTGCGACTGCTGCCCGCTGGTCGCACTGGTTGTCTTGCTTTCAACGCTGCTGCTAGCCCCGATTGTAGCAGCTGCTAGCCCAGCTGACGGTCCTGCCCTCGCTGCTGCTAGCCTGACGGTCCTGCCTTCACTGCTGCTCGCCCAGCCGATGGTCCTGCCTTCACTGCTGCCAGCCCAGCTGCCAATCCGGCTGCTGTCGCCGCCGCCTCTGCTGCCTGCAACGAACAAAAGGTCTGAATCAGCTCAACAAAGTTGTGTACTGCGTGGTAAATTCACGGAGCGCCGGCGTTCAATCACAGCGTGCAGTGACTGATCAATACGACCTCTAGCATCCTGCCGTCGTGCACCACGTCGCAGGCCGCAGTCATATACCAGCAAACGCAAAAGAGTCGTCACAAACACAGGGGCCCCATCGGTGTCGGTGGGGGCGTCGTAGGGTCAGAAGGCCCAATGCCTAAAACCGGCCGCTTGCGAATGCCGGGGTGTCCACCGTCCATGGAGTGTAACGATCGAAGACAGGCCCTAACCCACCATACATATTACAGAGTGTCGGAGCGATACCAAGCTGACCCATACCACTCCCCAGTTCGGGACAGGTCAGCCATGTAACCCGTGCTACAGCCGACCAGTCCGACAGCTCACAGCTGAGCCACCCGACAGGCCACAGCCGACAGCCGGCGTGGATGGCACTTCGCAGCGACACCGGACAGCGCTCAGCCATCGACCTAACAGGGTTGATTGCATTACGGGTCCGCACGGCAGCCGCTGCCACGTATCAGCGCAGCCAACAGGCTGCAGCTGGTGGGCTGTGGCATGGGACATGATCCACCCACGCTGCCGCCGCTTTGTGTCCTGATATCGGAGCGAATGGAGGCACGGGACTGACGAGAGGTGATAAATCGTGACGGGATTGGGAAGACGATTCACATAGACGGGACAGGACAGATGATACGGGACTGGCGAGACGATACTTGCAGAAAACACGGACAGACGAGATTGACAGACGATATAGGACAGGACAGACGGGGCGAGGCAGCCAATACGAAATGAAACGTCTCAACTCTCACAATTCTGTATTCCTGGGTAGACGGTGTAGAAATGAGCGCAGCGACCCACGAACCATTGGCAAGTGACAAAAGGCTGGGAAAATGAAAATTCGCAAGCAAAGCTTTGCTTATGATGAAAACTTCGTTATCACTCTGTAAAGCACCCCACTTAAAGCACCGATAGGATCGCAAAATGTTTCCCTGGAAGGACGTGTGTGTGTGCGGGGGGGGGGGGAAGCCAGGCACACTGCCAATCCGGGGTTGGGCCAAACAGAGAAAAAGAGCCCAAACAACAAACCAGACGCCCCAACTGCAACGGCCGTGTCATGTGATTGCGTGTGTTTGTGTGCCTCATACGTGTGCGATTGTAGAACATGCGTGCACTGCTTGTGTCACCCTGTCATATCATTGAGTAATCACACAAACACACCACTAGCTCGCCGCGCCCACATCCGACGGGCCACTCGAGCGAGGCGGGTTTCAGTCGTGGCTGTTTGCCCAGGTCAAACAAAGGCGAGCCAGCTCCGGTCCGGGACTGGAACTCCATTTCCGACGAACTGCTCGACCAACCAACTGGAACGACAGGTCGGCAGTGTAGGGTGTTGAGAGGTGACGTCATTCTTATTTATAAATATAAAATACTAATTATTAACAATTAATTACAATTTTGACATGAAATTTGGATAATTTTATCCCCTCCTTCCTCTTCTCTCTCCTTCCACTCTCTCTCTCTCTCTCTCTCTCTCTCTCTCTCTCTCTCTCTCTCTCTCTCTCTCTCTCTCTCTCTCTCTCTCTCATCCTCTCTCCGTCGGCGTCGCCGAGTGTCGGCCAGGTCAATACACGGAACCCGCTCCTCCGGCAGCGACCGACCGGGCTGCTGCGGCGGCTATATTTACCCCGGCGGAGACCATACTGCGACGGCCAGCTGAGGCTGAGGCCTATCCGCGTCGGTGGAGGACCGAGCGAGCCGCTCCCACCCCCGAGCGACGGCTGAGGAGCTGGGAACTCCTGACCTGACACAGGATGACAACGACGGTCCAGTGCGTATGCGTCACAGCGACGGTAGAGGGTCACGGCCAAGGTCACGTTCAGAACCTGAACAGACCGTCCTCTGGTGACACTTGATGGACTAAAATAAACTATCAATTTTAGGTCCAGACCATAACCGAAGCCACTCTTGGTAATTGATGATATCTACTTTACCTATGTAATTGGTCAGATGTAATTGTTTCCACAAGACGTAGAAATAAACAAAGAAACGGATGTGACTGTGTGTGAGCGAGAATAGCCGTCTTTCTAACCACCCATATCACATATGCCATGATTTTCAAAGACAATAGGTATGGACTTATGCACTTATATACCTAATGCACTTATACGCTTATATAAGCATTGAACATCCGTTAGCACTGCAGTAGCAGTTGACGACCGAGACTCAATCCGGTTCTATCATACAATGTGAGGGCATTTAACAGACAATCTGCTTGAGCCTCTCCCGATCGGATCAATAAACAGACCAGAGGCCTCTTGCACCAACTACCTAGCAAGGTAAAATCGAAAAACCGGTTTCAGAATAAGCTAATCTAACGGTGGTAAATTTGTTTGCAATAGCCCAACACATAATCCTACATGTGCTTGCTAAATTTTGCACGCAAATTGTTACATTTGAGACTTAGACTGGGTATGCGATGCAAAATAACCCAAGCATTGGTGCAAGAGGATTTTGGTGCAAGAGTCTTCATCTCTTCGGGTCAATAAACAGAACGAACTTACAGTGATCAGCCACGGATGACGTCATACTTATTGCGACAAGTGGAGGCAGCGGAAGAGGTGTAGATCCAAAAGTAGGAACTGCTTGGCAGGGTATAGGCGACTGATATGTTCGACTGAAATATTTGTAGTTAAGCAAAGCAATAGCAAAACAATTAAGGTACCGTTTCTACGACCATTATAAGCATCGAACATTTTTTTGCCGTTCACGAGAGCTGAGGAGCCCGCTTCCTTGAGTCAGCGGAACAATTTCTTCGAATCACTATGCTATCTAACTTGCCGTTTAGACGATAAATGGGAAATGATGCATTTTGAAACAAAAAGAGCCTGTACCAGAATACGTTACGTGACCTCTCATACAATTGCATGATCTGGACATGCATAATACAGACCAAGCCAGCTTAGCTGAAACACGCGGATTTAAGTTCACTGAACTTTTAAATAGGCTAATGACTGAAGGTTCACATGAGTAACAAATGACAGCTCAGCTGTAAGCCAGAGATTAGCACCGGTGTGTATATCCGTGTGTTGCCCGCCGGCGCTGTGCAGGTTTTGGCGACGGGCGGCCCGGCGCGGGGTCCGGCACACTCGGTGGTCCAGCAGACTCGCTGGTTCGGTCACGCGCCCAGTCACGCGGGCCGAGCTTCACAGGTGACTCAGCCCCATCAGGTGGCTGGCCAGCCCGCTTGGACCAGCTGCCGGCCCGCACAGGTGGGGAGCCGCACTCACGTGCGGCGCCCGCCTGGCATAGAACTCATAACAATGCGCTATAGGGTTTATATCGGCTAGTTCAGGCTTGCATCATCCGGCGGGTCTGAAGAATCAGATGGGTTAAATCACAGCTGGCACAACTGTAAAGCTGTGCCACAGCCATTCCCTATCATGGAGCGGCAAAGGATGAATGAATTAAATACCTTTTTTCTCGATTAGACACTTCAGCATCGCGGAAATCCTGAACGTCGGCGGTGGTCGGCATTCGCGTAAAACCTGATGATGGCCCTTGACCTCTAGCAGAGCTAGCATTATCTTCTGGATCTTTGTCACGTTTCTTTCCAATCATTAAACCAAAATCCCATGAGTTTCATTAGTCCATGAATTCCGTACTGGACGGTAGACAGTTGTTGGTGCGATTAAAAGAAAAATGTGTGGTGAACATCCGATGGCAATGTGGTTCAGCACCTTATTTTACTCGTTAGAATTTAGATATTATGTAAGAAAACTCTAAATGAAGCCATTCGATTTCAACGTACGAATTCCTAGCACGTCCAACACTGTCGGTAGGCAATGGGTCTCATCGTCGATCCTATCGCCTATGAATAACACTCTCAGTGAGCGGCTGTTGCGAGGCAGACGCCGTGCCATTGATACCTACATCATTAGTTAAAAAACGCCCTCTGACCTTGCGTGTGACGGCTGGCAGTGTTTGTTCCCGCACATGCCGCCGGGTCAGTCAGCTGACGACGACAGGCCATCAGCTGATCGGTACAGCGCCTCAGACGACAGCCACTGAGCACTGAGCAGTGTCGAGCAGCCGTATGGAGCGCCGCCGATCCAAACCCGGGCAGCCGGTGCGATGGTGCTGATTGCCGCTGATTGGTGACGTGTCCTGAGCGTGCAACTGCTTACCCAATGCATGAGTGGGAGTGGCCGCATCGCAGCAAAGGAACTTTTTGTGATTGAATTATTGCAGAAATTAAAAATAACCATTTACGAGCTTTTCCTGCAGTTCACCATTTCACGAGCATAAGGTTCTAAGCGAAACTACTTCCTAAAATGTCAGGGCTGCTTAGTTTTTAGGGAGTGATTTGACGGTAAACATTATGTAGGTAGATACCTAAGCGCATCTTTCAATCCTTCGTTGAGAATGCGATAAATTGCGACACAAATTGTCGGTCTTAATGTCATATACGTCTTCCTGATTTGCGAAAGCCAATGCTTTGACTGCAATATTTGCAAAAGTCACGCTGTAATTCCACGAGTACCTGCGACGTTGCACTGACTAACTACTGGCACCGCGGACATGCACGGAGCGTCGGGCCGGGTCGAGCGGCCGGCACGGGCCGGGCCCCTGCAATGTCACATACTGCGCAGATGCTTACCCACATCGATCCAGAGCCGCTGCACAAAGAGAGCCGACAGCGGCCGCTCCCGCCGCACCGAGACGGCGAGTTTGCCCGTCTGGGGCGCGGCGCGGCACAGACTGCCGTGTGCCGCCGTGCACCGAAAGGTGCGAGGAATGTCCTGCCAAGATTACTTTACTAATAATGTCCTGCTACTGTGCACCCAGAGTTCCAGGAAATTCCTGTCGCAGTGCACCCAAAACGGCTTCAACTGCGCTGCAGATTCGTGAATCCAGGGTTACATGTCAGTTCTCAAACACGAACCGGCCCGAATTTGCA